CTCACCCCTCCCCACCAATACATGTACCATTTTTTCATGCCACACACACTAAATGACCAGTCCCTAAAGAATGTTCAACTTTATGAAAAAAATAAATCGAACTGTTCCCACTTACGCACACAAATAAACAATGACCAGTCCTTATGTGATTATATGATGCTGGTTGTTGATTGTTAGTGTCCTTGGTGAAACCCACAATCAGTGGACCATTATTGGGGTCAATCAGGGACTCACAACCAAGGCACAGCAGATTCTGCAATGGCCAAGGGACACAACTCTGAAGACACGACATAAACCACACCACTTTAAAAACCTTTTATTGATCACCAGGTGGTAATACACATCAATAAACAGTGAGGATCTGTCCCGTTATTTTAATGACATTTATCGAACATTTATCAAACTCACAGCAAAACAGGTCCCCTCCCCTCCCCTCATCAGAGTGAGGAAAAGTTTGATCGATTGCTGAGGCACTGTTGCACAGAAATACGAAAGTATTGATCAGCAAAATATTGCAATATTTTTTTAACTGATTTGAATACCAGTACATTGTCAAACAATTATTTACTTCTATTAGAAATCAACAGAACAAATACCCCATTCATGGCATCCTCACTAACGACCCTCCAGTCACCATTAAGAGTATATTACACCGACAGTAATGAGACATGACGTAATAAAACAACACTACCCACATAAATATAGAATGAAATAGTTTTTCCACGGTACCTTGATGAACATGACTTGGGTACAAAAATATTATATGGAAGACATTAAGATTACATATATTTGTTCCAGCAGCAACCAAGAAAACATTTCAAACGAACAAACCATAACACTAATGGTTCGTCCCAGAAGAATCAGCAGAAGGACTAGTTGTTTTAGGACAATTTGACCAGACTAATGTTATCACTTGTTTTACAAATTTTACTTGTTAATATTTGACCAAAGGGGCAGGAGGCAAAATAATTTCTTTAAATAAAAATTGAAACAAAAATACAAATGAAAAAACGCTCACTTTACTTTATATAAAAACTTGCAGTACTAATCCGGAAGTTGAAAATAATCATTTTATTTTTTTCGACCACCTTCTATAAATCTTAAGCCAAACATTTTGTTTACCAAATTATAAAAAATAAAAGGCATTATTTCAGATCCCAACCATTTGTCCTTTAACAACTGAAATTGATGGTTTGAAAAATATGTTTTCAATTCACTTACAATAATAGCCAAAATTCAAATAGTTTCTGAGGATATTTTAATCTGTTTTACGGATCATAACATGTTGAAGTGAAAACCTTCCCTCTGGCCTCCTGTAAGCTGACAAAACAAGATCACAATTGGTCTATCCTTATCATAAGGTATAAGGCACAAGGATACATCCACCTCATTTGCATGACCACACAATGTGAACCCCTCTAAAATCACAGATACAAAAATATGTAGGTTTTTATCAAGATATTATACATGACACAAAAACAAGCAAAATATATACAATATTATTTTTTATATAAAATTTTTGAAAATATTGATCTGTTAATTTCAACGATTGCCTTTGAATACTGGTAAATAATGATGATGAAAGGGCTACTATCATAATTGGTGTTTCTTTAGTTGTCATGGCAACGAAGTCCAGCTGTCTATAGAACAGCAAATCATACACACGGATAAACTAAAGAGAATAATGTAAAATAATTGCCTGAGCAAGCATGTTTTGTTTCTTGGGCATTGGTGTGTCTGTCTAATTAAGTTATTGCCAATAATATTTTTTTTTTTTCAAACTTCACACCACTTACAACCATTCTTTAAATAATTGTTTATTTTAAAAATCCAACTTGTCCAAATTTTGAGTGAGTGAGTTTTACGCCACTTTTAGCAATATTCCAGCAATATCCTGCCGGGGAACACCAGAAATGGGCTTCACACATTGTACCCATGCTGGGAATCAAACCCGGGTCTTCCTCATGATGAGCGAACGCTTTAACCACAAGGCTACCCGACTGCCCCTCAAATTGTGAGAAAGCTGTGCCTAAGAAACATTTTCTTTTGCATACAGCCTAAGGGAACAATAAATCCGTAATTGGCCTCTTGTTCTGTGTGGGCAACATGAAATGAACCCTTCTTGAGCATTATGTCAAAGTACTCAACTTTGTGGAGGTCTAGAAAATATGGACAGTTCTTTTACGATTGAAATCATAATATTTTTGTGATATTTCATGTCAAACTATTTTGGCAATTTGATTCCAATGAAAATAAGGACAAGTATCCATTGTGGGTAAAAAACATCTGCAGAAGACTTCAAACTAAACTGTCTTTTTAAGTAAGCTTTGGCAAATTTGGTGCAAAAGAAAACAAAATATTTAGTAGTGGAAAATCCCATCTGCACAATGCAAAGAATGTCAAAATGGGTACTTTGCCACTATTACATACATATTCTAGAAATTTAAACAATTCTCAAAAATATTCCCAACAACAATTTCTTCTTTTTACTACAAATTTATATCATTATGCAGTCATAATTAGGAACTGTTTCTTTACCATCATATTTCCTTTTCTTTATACATGGTAGAGATCACCAGTCTTCTAACCAGGACCAACCAGTGAGACAGTCTAACACACTAATCTACCCAATATCCCCATATCAGAACAGCCAATTACAATACAATCTCATTAAAATCAGATTTTCTACTCCGATACCTCTCTCACCTGAAGATCTGATGGCATCTCCATCATCGTGTCAGCTGAACTTTCCAATCAGCGTTGAAGCTTCTAAATTCTCAGAATGCGTGTGTGAGCATTTTTTTCCAGTACAACTGACGAGCTAAAACAACTTTTCCTGAATGTCCATGATAGAGACTGCACCATAATATTGCTGTTACTATTTTACGCACCCTGGCATTTCGGGGTTCCATGTCATCTACATCCAAAAGAAAGGAATATTTTTGTCCCGCACAGGATTTCTGTTGTCAAAATCTAAATTTCATATCCAAGGGTTAAAAGAAGGTAGCCAAATCGTTTTAGAAAGCTGACATTTAATTGGCTAAAAAAAAACACTCATCGATCATTTGGGTGGTCAAGGTCGCTCAGAAGACCACCTTACACAACCTAACACAACCTCCTATGCAGTTCTCCTCGGACTCTAACCCAGAGAGGTATCACAGTTGAGTAAAGATCTGATTTTAAGGAGATTGATTACAAAAGAAAAACACAATGTACAATGAAAAAAACCAATAATGTTTCATCCCTCTCTACATTGGTTATAACAGTTTTCTTTCACATAAATACCAACAGCGCATATCTCCAGTGCTGGATCTCGACTCAAGGACTGGAAATAACAGCCAGCGACCTGTTTCACCGAGCCATCTTGGTGCTACGATTGTCCTAATTCTATGCTAAACTATGGGAGTTATGGCTGTCTCAGTGCGAAGATATCTTCGTGGAATGGGCCCCCAAGCCCCTTATAATAACAAAATACTGGTGTTATCACCCTTTGTACATGTCAAAACACATGACATCTTATTTCAAATAATTATGTATTTATTATTAAAAATATTCTTATCACAATGACATTCAAAGTAATCACCTTTCATAAATCTGTCAATGGTTTTGTTCTGATGACACAGACAACAAACATTATAATACTTTCAACACAATAATTCTGGTATGTGATCTTTAGAGAGGGGCCACCTCTTGGATATCTTGTCTCCAAGTTTTAGGCCCCATATCCTATGGTGTTGGGAAAAAACTCTGTACTTGTTGATAAACTGTTTACCTTTTGATACATCTTGTGGTGTTACTGACATATCCCTATTATGGGACTATCACATGCTGATGTACAGAGAACAACTTACCTTTGGCAATAATGTGTGCAGAATAACTATTAAGTGTGTAGATGAAGTATCTCAACCTAAATTAACATGCATAGAATATATTGTGTTTTCTGTGAAAAAGTAACCTGATGTCTTAGTGTACATGTAAAAAACCCTTTGAAAATGGAATAACCTTTTTATGTGAAACATCTGTTTGTTTTTTGTTGGTATTGATTGTACATACAGTAAACTACGGTTATAACGAACTCAAAGGGACTACTAATTTTAGTTCGTTATAACCGTAATTCGTTATAAGCATATATACAGCATAACTACAGCATATAGTCGGGACTAAAAAGTTAGTTCGTTATATCAGTTAGTTCGTTATAAGCGTGTTCGTTATAGCCGTTGTTTACTGTATATGTACTGATAATCTTTGGACAATCTATCTCTTGTGTCAGTGAGCTGGGTCTGAGGCGGCCTATTTCTGGTACCCCACTGTATGTCAGCTCAATGTGGGAGAAAATCCTGAAGTGATGCAGGTCTCCGATGTTTACCACTTTTGTGACAAGATATGGTTCTAACAAACCAAGAATCATAATCATGGGGAATCTGGGATTTGAACCCACAATTATAGGATCCTGGCATGTGTAAGGGAAGCAACAGTAAATTAGATGACTAGGCCACTCCTGGATTATGCCACTTTTATACAAGTTCCATATGCTGATACCATTACCAGCATAAGGAACCAAGAACCTCTGAGACCAAGTGTAAAAGGAGGGACTCTCATTTATATATATGGACACGATGTAATATCAAACTGGTGGAACATCACCTGTTACCATGCAAACTACCCGGAACTGAGTGTGTGACTCCTATATACAATGTAGTATTCTGTACATGGTTAGATATATGTATACCATAACATCCATTTGTCAATAATCATAGATCCAAAACCAGCAATTGTTTGTTATAGCATAATATTGCCATTAATGATAGAAAGATCAAGTGAAATTACTTTCTGATTTATTACACATGGCTATGCATATCCAAACACCTCCTACAGTCCGACTGCAACATGGTAGACAGTAATACGATGCCACATCATTCATAGTTCAGGACGTCACAAGAATTATCCAAAGAATAATAAAATATACATGCAACATATTTGGTGTAACCCCCACCCCCCCACCCCCTACATTAAAAGATCTATCCCTTATTGCCAAAGGCATGGGGACTACAATATTCTTTCATTTGGGAACAATAATCAGTAATTCAGGGTTCACTCTAGTAATTTTCTAACATGGGCCCTTAATCTGAAATTTTCAAATATTCCAGAGGTACACCCACACTTGCCAATACAGCACAATGCTAAAATGCCCCATTTTATTTGAAAGTGTGGGCCTTTTTAAAAATTTAGAGGCTAAAAGCACAAGGCCCCACCCTAGAATTATCTCTGGCAATTGCTTGTAGCTTGTAGGTAGGTTCCCCGATGGTCTCTCATCACAGCAGTGAGTTAGAGTGAGTGAGTATGGTTTTACACCGCTTTTAGCAATATTCCAGCAATATCACGGTGAGGGACACTAGAAATGGGCTTCACACATTGTACCCATGTCAGGAATCGAACCTGGGTCTTCGGCATGACGAGCGAACGTTTTAACCACTGGGCTAACCAACTGCCCCGTGAGTTAGAGAATAAGCATCCAGCTCAGTACGACCATCTGATAATGTTTTGTGGTGCATCATATGTTACCCAATATATTGTATTAGTTCACTACCTCAAATAATCAAAGCCTACAATAACATCAAAATTTGAGATCATCCACCATTATGTAAGTAAAAATTATGAAGAATTTAGACAGATTTGTTTTCTTCACGAAATTGAAATGTTTTGCCTGACTAAAAAATGAATGAAAGTATGTTTATTGCTGGTCGTTGGTGAAGAAACATATGGCGAATAATGCATGTTCCCAGACATGTTGCATAAGCTCATCACCTCAAATAATCCAAGCATACAAAGACATAATCAAAAGAGATCGTTCACCATTCGGGTAAACCATCCTCAACGGGATCATGTGAAAACAAAACATAAAATGTATCACTGTGGTTGATATGAAAATATCTGTACATCTGTCAAAATAATACTATGATTTCCATGTGTATCCATGGTAACCAATTCTGAAAAATAATCAATACGAAAACAATCTGTTTTCTGCGTCACAGATACATCATACATGTTTAAACATTTTGTCATGACACTGCCTTGTGTTGTTACAAAATATTTTCATAATCTCACATTTCAGTAAACTTTCATAAAAAAACATATTGTTTGAAGTTAAGTTTCCAGCCAGAGAGAGTTAGTGTATTGCACTTTGAGAATTCATCTCAACATGGATGTCGCTGACATGGATTGCATTGGTTGTGGGGAAAGTCACCTGACCCACAGGTGGCCAATCCGAGTTCTTGATTTCATTCTCGACAACTTTATACCTGTTCTGTGGACCTCTTTTTTTTATGGCCTTGTAGCATGGTTTCAACATGCTGCTATCCACTATCATATACTGAAACAAAGAGTGAGTGAGTGAGTTGAGTTTTAATAGTACCTTATTTTCTTTTTTTGTGTACATAATGTATGCTTTTGTTTTTAAATCTATTTTATTACTTGTATTCAAAATTTCACTTTATATTGTTTACATTAAATTGATCAAAATATGGTTTGTGTTCATTTATGGAATACTGCGTTTGATTGCTTGGTCATTTGAACCTTCTAATCAATCTTTGATTACTAAAATTATTCAGAACCACCACTTTGAAACACAAATTTCAATCACACTAAATCATTAACACTTGTTTTTTGGTTAAACGGGGATATTTCAGTGTCTTCTTTCTTTGCAGAAACACTGGTACATTCTATTGCAGGTAATGAAAATGAATTCCTTTCAAAAAGCAAGTCAGCATGAAGGTGTGGACCATAGTGTTGAATCACCTGGTCACAGCCCAGTAGTTACCTCAACACCCAGCAGACCTACCTCCATGAAGCTTGACATGATAGCAAACGCTACAGCGAAACCAAACAGGTACAGACGGAATGTAATTGATTTCTCGTGGAGTTCCTTCATCTGAAAACATAAGGTGCATGATGAGATGATACGACCAAGATAGTGGGTGAGCAATCTCATCTCGTATTCTAATTTGATACCTTTCTTTGCGACGGTGAGCAATCTTTTTCAAATCACATCTCGTATTCTAATTTGATACCTCTCTTTGTGAGGGTGAGCAATCTTATTCAAATCACATCTTTTTTTCTAATTTGATTCCTCTTTTTGTGGGGGTGAGCTTTCATATTCAAGTCACATCTTTTATTCTAATTTGATACCTCTTTTTGTGGGGGTGAGCAATCATATTCAAGTCATATCTTGTATTCTAATTTGATACCTTTCTTTGTGAGGGTGAGCAATCTTATTCAATGCACATCTTTTATTCTAATTTGATACCTTTCTTTGCGAGGGTGAGCAATCTTATTCAAATCACATCTTTTATTCTAATTTGATACCTTTCTTTGTGAGGGTGAGCAATCTTATTCAAATCACATCTTTTATTCTAATTTGATACCTTTCTTTGTGAGGGTGAGCAATCTCATTCAAATCACATCTTTTATTCTAATTTGATACCTTTCTTTGTGAGGGTGAGCAATCTTATTCAAATCACATCTTTTATTCTAATTTGATACCTTTCTTTGTGAGGGTGAGCAATCTCATTAAAATCACCTCTATGGAGCTGATACTTTTACTGCAGGTCACTTTTTAAAAAAAAGACAATATACAAAATGAAGCTTTGTTTGATTCTTAGCAGTCTGTAATTAATTGAATCTGGACCAGACAATCCAGTGATTGATATTATCAGCAATGATCACCACCTGATCCATTAAGCTGCCTTGTACAACCAAAAGAGGTCAATGTGGACCTCTTCTTATCCCAAAGGGGAAAAAATGAATAATAATGAATAATAAAATACAGGCTTGTTTAGTTGTGCTCACCTCCAGAAAGTGTTCTATTTCAGGGAGTGGCAGCAACAGCAGAAACGTGGAGAACCCAAACAAAAACATCATAGAAATCAGGAACGGATCTGAAATAAATCACATGTACAAGTTTCAATATTTGCTGGAACCATTATCGTCTGCACAGCAAGGTACAGTGAATGAGTGAGTGAATGTTGTTTAATGCCACTGTCAGCAATATTTCAATCTTCATCTGGACCGACCAAACCAATAACTGAAAGAATGAGCAATGGTCAAGAACACTGGGGTACATTAACAAGCATTAAGTCATACAGTCTGACCACCAATTCATTTTAATTGAGTCTCATTACATAGGTATTATTTCTTCAAAGACTTCCATGGGAAGAAATTTGGATCGACTGACAAATATTCAACAACTGAAATTAGAAAAATAAATGACTTTGACATTGTAAATAATATGTATAAAGATGTTTATTCAAACAAACCCACTCATCTTTTGCGATCATTTCACAAACATACTTTCTCAATATTTCAATACACAATACCAAGCACTGGAAACTTTGACGGTTCTTAGAAAAAGACATAACTTAGCACATTCAAAAAAATTATTTTTGTTTTCGTGAGGCAACAGCTTTAATATCATATTCTTTGTTTAGCTATTTTGCTAAAAAATTGTTGGCTACAGTATTGTATCATGTTGGAAAAAAAAATATATCGATATGTAGTCACATGCCTGATACTCAAATATTATTCAACCTCTGACAACAAGCATGATGCACTGTGGTCCCTTCCTCCCAGGTCCTGAAACAGGGGCATGCATCATGGTCAACTTACAGTTAGTGTAGATAGGCTTTCTGAACGGTGGTCCCTTCGAGAAGCAGAACGCAACTGATATGTACATGTACGACGACACCAGGAATATCACAGTAGACTCCCAGGAGTGCACATTCTCCAGATCCTTGCTGGGAGGGGGTTCTTCATACCTAAATCACAAGAACAATATACCAATACTTCCACTTTGGGTGCAACTTGAGGTATTCAGGGAAACAGGTCTAATTGTCAGTTTGCTGTCTGGAAATATTATTTGGAACCAGCAGCATAATTATTAATCAACAGTAATATTGACATATATATCATATTGAGAGGTAGTGTTGTGATATACTGTAAATCTTGAAATTAATGCGTCTCCAAATAAATACGACTGCTGGCTCCTAGCCACAAATGAGACTCAAAATCAATGCGACTCCCTCCACCCCATCACCAGTGGAATGATATCCTTACCTTAATCCAATCAAACAGCAAATAGTGCCGCTTATTAGCACTGAGTAAAGCACTTCCGTAATAACAATAAACAGTGATTTCCTAACAACAAGACACAGTTTATATGTTTATTCTGTTGATTAGCATGAAGGAAGTTCAAAGGCAACAAGGGCAAAAGTGAGCGTGGCTCACCAATACCCCCGACCCGCCTAGTGTGTCACTAGTTTCAAATTAAACAAGTATTTGTCACAGAGTGACGAAATATCCCCCGCCTGTACACCATAGTACCAAATATGAAGACAATCCAGCGATTAGTTCTTGAGATATTGTGGCAACACCGTTTTCCAACTCCAAAAACAGATTTGCCTGCTGTGACCTTGAAAATGGGGTCAAGGTCACCAATCTGACAGGTGTATGCGGTGTCTGTATATACACTATAGTTCCAAATATGAAGACAATCCAGCGATTAGTTCTTGAGATATCGCGGCAACACCGTTTTCTAACTCCAAAAGCAGATTTGCCTGCTGTGACCTTGAAAATGGGGTCAAGGTCACCAAAACCAACTGGTGTCTGCGGTGTCTGTATATACACCATAGTTCCAAATATGAAGACAATCCAGTGTTTAGTTCTTGAGATATCGCGGCAACACCGTTTTCCAACTCTAAAAGCAGATTTGTCTGCTGTGACCTTGAAAATGGGATCAAGGTCACCAAAACCGACTGGTGTCCGCGGAGTCTGTATATACACCATAGTTCCAAATATGAAGACAATCCAGTGTTTAGTTCTTGAGATATCGCGGCAACAAACAGGTGGGACGTACGGACGTACGTACGGACGGTCGTGAATACTATATCCCCCGCTTCGCGCTTTCGCGCGGCGGGGGATAATAATGGATAGGGTTAGGGTTTGAAAAATTCATAAAAAATTGGAAAATTTATAAAATCAATTATTTTCTTTTGCCTGCACCCCTCCATATGACACAGATTATATGTACTAAGTTTGAGATGAATCCACTGAATAGTTTAAGAGAAATTTGCGCGGACAAAGTATTGGGACGGATGGACGGATGGACGGATGGAACCTTGGTATAACTTAATAAAATAACAGTTCACTGATTGGAGTGGCCAATGATGCCTTGTTTGACATGAGTGGGTAGAACTCTTGACCCCAGCTGTGATAATTTTAACTCACCGGATGCCCATTGTGTAATTTTTATTCTTTGAATGACTTTGTTATATACTTGTTACAACTGCTGCTCAATAAACTGTGTTTGTGTTTATATTCAAGTTGCCATTTTCGCTATCCAAAGTGTACAGTGAGGCTGTCTTATTCTTGATGGTCATTTTGATGACATAAATGCGAAGTTTAATAAATGCGAACAAAGACCTCTCACATTTAATTCATGCCCGTGTTAATTTCATGATTTAAAGTATATCCAGAGGTAAGTATTGTGATAAATATCATATCTGGAGGTAAGTATTGTGATATATATTATATCCAGAGGCAAGTATTGTGATACATATCACCATGATCATATCTGGAGGCAAGTATTGTGATATATATCATATGTAGAGGTAAGTATTGTGATATATACCTAGTGGTAAGTATTGTGATATATATCATATGTAGAGTTTATTTTGCATGTGAAATACATTATCTGAGGATATTTTGTTTACATAGGATAATTTTATGATAGGGCACTCACCAAGACTGAGATCGGAGATAAAAGTATGCTGAAACTTGCATGCCTCCGACTAGCAACACTTGCATGATGATGGACAGCAGGTTGGACACCTTGACCAGACTCCCAGGCGGCTTCTTCCTGACCAGCTTGTGGTAGGGGCCGGTGTACCCCACTGAAACAAGCATCACAACATTGAGTGGTGGTCCTGACCAGCTTGTAGTAGGGGCAGGTGTACCCCACTGAAACAAGCATCACAACATTGAGTGGTGGTCCTGACCAGCTTGTGGTAGGGGCAGGTGTACCCCACTGAAACAAGCATCACAACATTGAGCGGCGGTCCTGACCAGCTCTTGGTAGGAACCGGTGTACCCTACTGAAACAAGCATCACAACATTGAGCGGCGGTCCTGACCAGCTCTTGGTAGGAACCGGTGTACCCTACTGAAACAAGCATCACAACATCGAGCGGCGGTCCTGACCAGCTTGTGGTAGAGGCCGGTGTACCCCACTGAAACAAGCATCACAACATTGAGCGGCGATCCTGACCAGCTTGTGGTAGGGGCCGGTGTACCCCACTGAAACAAGCATCACAACATTGAGTGATGGTCCTGACCAGCTTGTGGTAGGGGCCGGTGTACCCTACTGAAACAAGCATCACAACATTGAGCGGCGGTCCTGACCAGCTTGTGGTAGAGGCCGGTGTACCCCACTGAAACAAGCATCACAACATTGAGTGATGGTCCTGACCAGCTTGTGGTAGGGGCCGGTGTACCCCACTGAAACAAGCATCACAACATTGAGTGATGGTCCTGACCAGTTTGTGGTAGAGGCCGGTGTACCCCACTGAAACAAGCATCACAACATTGAGTGGTGGTCCTGACCAGTTTGTGGTAGAGGCCGGTGTACCCCACTGAAACAAGCATCACAACATTGAGTGATGGTCCTGACCAGCTTGTGGTAGGGGCAGGTGTACCCCACTGAAACAAGCATCACAACATTGAGCGGCGGTCCTGACCAGCTTCTTGTGGTAGGGGCCGGTGTACCCCACTGAAACAAGCATCACAACATTGAGCGGCGGTCCTGACCAGCTCTTGGTAGGAACCGGTGTACCCTACTGAAACAAGCATCACAACATTGAGTGGTGGTCCTGACCAGCTTGTGGTAGAGGCCGGTGTACCCTACTGAAACAAGCATCACAACATTGAGCGGCGGTCCTGACCAGCTTGTAGTAGGGGCAGGTGTACCCCACTGAAACAAGCATCACAACATAGAGCGGCTGTCCTGACCAGCTTGTGGTAGGGGCCGGTGTACCCCACTGAAACAAGCATCACAACATTGAGTGATGGTCCTGACCAGCTTGTGGTAGGGGCCGGTGTACCCCACTGAAACAAGCATCACAACATAGTAGTGTGGTCCTGACCAGCTTGTAGTAGGGGCCGGTGTACCCCACTGAAACAAGCATCACAACATTGAGCGGCGGTCCTGACCAGCTTGTGGTAGGGGCCGGTGTACCCCACTGAAACAAGCATCACAACATTGAGCGGCGGTCCTGACCAGCTTGTGGTAGGGGCCGGTGTACCCCACTGAAACAAGCATCACAACATCGAGCGGCGGTCCTGACCAGCTCTTGGTAGGGGCCGGTGTACCTGTGTATCCTGTGCAGGATGCACACCTCACAGGGTACAACCATATCACACATGACCACCTCGTCCTCAGTTCAGACAGACCTGGGTTGCTGGGGACCAATTCTACTATGGAAAGTCCAGGTGTTTGTGCAGTAGGAACTTACTCAGGACAAGCCAGGGCTACTGGGGACCAATTCTACCATGGAATGTCCAGGTGTTTGTGCAGTAGGAACTTACTCAAGACAGCAATGGTGGTTGTTATGACCAGGTCGATGTACAGGAACTCGAAGTCAGACAGGTTGGCACCAAACTGAAAAAAAACATTAAACTGTCACAAACTGGCCAACACTAAATCAAGTTTATAACTTTTGGTTTATCATTGCATATCTATCAGTCTCTCTATCTATCTATCTATCTATCTATCTATCTATCTATCTAAATATATACTTGCCTGCATAACATTCCTCACATGACATTTGATAAGGAAAGTTTAACATAGTGGTCTAATGCTTTTTTTTTAACATGAGTGTCTCTTAGTGTGGGAGGAAAACTCTTTATGACAATCACAAACTATACACATTTGCTGAAACCCAAATGCCCAAGTATGGTGGTCACAGACCAAGGATCATATCTGGGGCAAATCTGAGATTTGGACCCACGACAACTGCATACTGACTCGACTAAGGGACATAACCCTACACAGCACTCTCTGCTGGCTAACTGCTGACTGACCGTGTAGAGGATGAGGACAGACACGAACTGTATGAAGCTGTACAGAGCCATGTACTTGAAGCAGCCGAAGGAGGTGACCAGGGCAGCTCGACCCTCCCTGAAACAAAGGATTTGTCATGCCATAAACAACTCCAAATGATAGCGGTGTTATGTTGCTTTCAAGAATATTCAAGCTGAAATGTTCAATAAAGCACAAACTGAACAATCTTAACATACTCTTTTAAATGTGTTATGATAATGCTTAAAAAATATTTATATTTCCGTTCATTCAGTTTTAAACAGGTAGTATTTTCGTTTTCCAGGTCAACCTGTTCCAGCCCGAAAAGAAATAGCATTAATTGTCCCAGCCCAAACAGTATATGGCATTGCCTGTACAAACCCTAACACAAATGACATTACCTGTACAACCCTAACACAAAAGGCATGACCTGTACAACCCTAACACAAATGGCATTACCTGTACAAACCTAACACAAATGGCATTACCTGTACAACCCTAACACTAATGGCATTACCTGTACAACCCTAACACTAATGGCATTACCTGTACAACCCTAACACAAATGGCATTACCTGTACAACCCTAACACTAATGGCATTACCTGTACAACCCTAACACAAATGGCATTACCTGTACAACCCTAACACTAATGGCATTACCTGTACAACCCTAACACAAATAGTATTACCTGTACAACCCTAACACAAATGGCATTACCTGTACAACCCTAACACAAATGGCATTACCTGTACAACCCTAACTCTAATGGCATTACCTGTACAACCCTAACACTAATGGCATTACCTGTACAACCCTAACACTAATGGCATTACCTGTACAACCCTAACACTAATGGCATTACCTGTACAACCCTAACACAAATGGCATTGCCTGTACAACCCTAACACTAATGGCATTACCTGTACAACCCTAACACTAATGGCATTACCTGTACAACCCTCACACAAATGGCATTGCCTGTACAACCCTAACACAAATGGCATTACCTGTACAACCCTAACACAAATGGCATTGCCTGTACAACCCTAACACAAATGGCATTACCTGTACAACCCTAACACTAATGGCATTACCTTTACAAACCCTAACACAAATGGCATTACCTGTACAACCCTAACACTAATGGCATTACCTGTACAACCCTAACACAAATGGTATTACCTGTACAACCCTAACACTAATGGCATTACCTGTACAACCCTAACACTAATGGCATTACCTGTACAACCCTAACACAAATAGTATTACCTTTACAAACCCTAACACAAATGGCATTACCTGTACAACCCTAACACTAATGGCATTACCTGTACAGCCCTAACACGAATGGCATTACCTGTACAACCCTAACACTAATGGCATTACCTGTACAACCCTAACACAAATGGCATTACCTGTACAACCCTAACACAAATAGTATTACCTGTACAACCCTCACACAAATGGCATTACCTGTACAACCCTAACACAAATGGCATTACCTGTACAACCCTCACACAAATGGCATTACCTGTACAACCCTAACACTAATGGCATTACCTGTACAACCCTAACACAAATAGTATTACCTGTACAACCCTCACACAAATGGCATTACCTGTACAACCCTAACACAAATGGCATTACCTGTACAACCCTAACACTAATGGCATTACCTGTACAACCCTAACACTAATGGCATTACCTGTACAACCCTAACACAAATAGTATTACCTGTACAACCCTCACACAAATGGCATTACCTGTACAACCCTAACACAAATGGCATTACCTGTACAACCCTAACACAAATGGCATTACCTGTACAACCCTCACACAAATGGCATTACCTGTACAACCCTCACACAAATGGCATTACCTGTACAACCCTAACACAAATGGCATTACCTGTACAACCCTAACACAAATGGCATTACCTGTACAACCCTAACACTAATGGCATTACCTGTACAACCCTAACACTAATGGCATTACCTGTACAACCCTAACACTAATGGCATTACCTGTACAACCCTAACACAAATAGTATTACCTGTACAACCCTCACACAAATGGCATTACCTGTACAACCCTAACACAAATGGCATTACCTGTACAACCCTAACACAAATGGCATTACCTGTACAACCCTAACACAAATAGTATTACCTGTACAACCCTCACACTAATGGCATTGCCTGTACAACCCTAACACAAATGGCATTACCTGTACAACCCTAACACAAATGGCATTACCTGTACAACCCTAACACTAATGGCATTACCTGTACAACCCTAACACAAATGGCATTGCCTGTACAACCCTAACACAAATGGCATTACCTGTACAACCCTAACACTAATGGCATTACCTGTACAACCCTAACACAAATGGCATTGCCTGTACAACCCTAACACAAATGGCATTACCTGTACAACCCTAACACAAATGGCATTACCTGTACAACCCTAACACAAATGGCATTACCTGTACAACCCTTACACTAATGGCATTACCTGTACAACCCTAACACAAATAGTATTACCTGTACAACCCTAACACAAATGGCATTACCTGTACAACCCTAACACAAATGGCATTACCTGTACAACCCTAACACTAATGGCATTGCCTGTACAACCCTAACACAAATAGTATTACCTTTACAAACCCTAACACAAATGGCATTACCTGTACAACACTCACACAAATGGCATTACCTGTACAACCCTAACACAAATGGCGTAACTTGTCCCAACCAAAACAGAAATGGCTTTAACTGTCCAAACCCCAAAAGAAATGAAATACCTCATGGCAGTGACGACACACTCGATGTTGGAGATGCGGGATGTGAAGGGTGCTGCTACGGATGCCTCTGCTTCTGACAGGGAGATGCCTGCATGGGCAGCCTTCAGAGCCTGACACAGAGACAACCCAATGTCATTGCTACCTGAACAGCATCTCCTGTCATTGTTCAACACCTAACTCAAAGACATCAGCCATCGTAGTGCTGATCATACTCAATGACCACCCAATCACCACTAAGTTATTGTTCATCTAATGTGGAATTACATTACCCAGACATTATCATGGAATATATATTTAAATTGCAGGTGATACTGTGGCATCTGAATGGCTAACAATGCCTGCTAACAGACTGCTGATAAAAGAATGGTTTTGGCTTGTGTTGCATTACTGCACTGATATCGAATGTGGTCTACATTTATTGTAGTGTTAATGATTAAATAAGCAGTCCGTGAAGTTATCATTGTTGACGTATATATTTATAAGAATTGACTTCAACATGTTTTTGTGTTCTTAAGCATATTTACAGTGTGCGCATTGTTTCTTACAGTAATATCTCCACAAATGCAAAAATGATTTAGCTCTGTACACACATGTGAAGTCCACTTCTACAGTTTGAGGAGAACAGTGTTTACAATAGGAAGAAAAGAAAACATAAATTAAACAAATCTTACTTCACAATCGTTTGCACCATCTCCACACATGCCGACAATGTAGCTGTAACACAGAAGTTGACATAAATAAGTGAATGCTGTTTTATGCTGTTATGTGCAATACCATATTCAACGTAATAAGCGCCCAGGGTGCTCTCAAAATTTGAAATAGGGGGCTCTTATTAGAATATTATTTTGGTGAAATAAAAGATTGTAAATTTCGTGGTTTATGCTGACAGCCTGAAATGTTTATATACGATAGATTTATTTTTTAATTGCCCATAATTTAGGGTGCATAAAACACACGACTGCGTATGATAGATGAATAAATAAGTCTTGTGTACATTGAACAATCTGAAGGGGTGCTCATTGAGATTGTTCACTTGCCAATATATTAGCAAATATCGCCGTGGGCGCTTATTAGAGCGGGGCGCTTATTACGTGAATATGGTATATGACAAACCAGAGGTGAATAGTGTGAGCATTGACACTGGTAGATAGTGGAGAGTGAGTGAGTGAGTGAGTATGGTTTTACGCCGCTTTTAGCAATATTCCAGCAATATCACGGCGGGGGACACCAGAAATGGGCTTCACACATTGTACCCATGTCGGGAATCGAACCCGGGTCTTCGGCGTGACGAGCGAACGCTTTAACCACTAGGCTACCCGACCGCCCCAGATAGTGGAGAATAATGACCGGTGAGCAACCAGGTCACCCCTGGCAGGGACAGTTCTTTAACTCAGTTCTTTATATTCAGCTGCCATCTTGATGTTATTACAGAAGTCATTGTTGCTTATCCCAAGTGTTCTACCCGGAAATCCTCAAAGGTGAACATTCCATAGGTTGTTTTTAAGCATTACTACAGGGGATATTTCCACTGAGGACACTGACTTCACTCATTGTACCAATGTGTGGAATAAAACCCAGGTCCTTTGTAACACAATCAAACACCTTAACCACTCGGCTACCCAATCTTCCCCTTTTACACAAGGCTATTTCTTCCTGTGACAATCCCACAGGCATTCTGGGTAAGAATAGTTCCCCAGAAACCTATGCAACTAAACAAAGAAAGAAAGAAATCGTCCTGTGACAAGTCTTACTCCAGTTTCTGCAGGTTCTGAATCAGCTGACACTTCTGTTCTGGCAACATTCGAGCAAACACTGTGCCTTTGGTACAAATCTGATGCAAAAATAGAAAACTAATAACCAGTCATGTTTTAGTTATGAAGGAACATATGGTGCATCACATTTTTATTATCTACATACAGAACTGAAAGCACCAGTGGATCAAGGAAGCATGTGCCTCCATAATACATAAGTATTTCACAATCATGACAATACCACAGTGGTTTGTTGTAATGATGTCACTGGTCCATCTTACTCCTGAAAAAGGAATGGGTGATGGAGGCAAAAGATATGACCCCCCACCCCAACACCCCTTTTCCGCAATTTATTCTCAGTTCATATTTGGAAGGCAGGGTTTCTTCTATTTCAGCCACATCAAGCCCATGACAGGTTTCACAAGATGGGAATCAAACCCTGGTCGTTAGTTTGACAAATGAACACTGAAACCACTGTGCAATGCTGCCAATTCATGTGGAATAATAACACCACCACATGCACCTCACGTGGAATAACAACACGACAAACTCATGTGGAATAACAACACTACCTAATGGCCTTACTGATATATAGGAACATCCGATGTTTATTAACGAAAAACCAAAACAATGAAAATGCAACCCATTTATTTACCCCAATCCAACACAAACAACTGTTCTATTGTCTACTGTTACGACACCTCTTTACTCTGCAAACTCACCTGTCTAACTAAACTCCCATGTCCCAGTTATTAACAAAATCTTCAAGGAAAGCACGTGCTTTCCCCGAAGCAGGGTGTGTTTTGTACACTTGGCTCTGATAATGACTGGGACATGTGCGTTTCTGTGAAGTAGGGAGCGTTTGTTTTTAAAACCCTCCCGAACACTTACCTTCTCGAGCATCTCTGGGAAATGAGCCGTGATGACCGCGAAGGATTTCCCATTGATAGCAAGGTGATGACGTGGCCCCTCATCAGACACATTCACTGTCCTGTAACCCTGTGTCAAGAGGATGATGATATGTGACAACAGGACAAGCATAACAGTGTTCGAAACAAAGAGGGAAGTCCAGGAGTTGTCCAAACCTCTTTGTTTAAAGTTCAACATGGAGGGTTCCCTAGATTCAAATAGAGAGGCAAATATCAAGGATCACAGGACTCCCATGAATTTCGAACACTGTAGAAGGAGCATGCATCATTCAACTGTGACCTCAGAAGTTTAGTCCTTCTTGTTATAAAGAATACAAGAACCCCACTCATGAATATAGTTACAGAAGAAAACATTACAGTAGTTAAACAACACGTTCCATACTGTGAAAAATTTACATATTTCTCCGCAATTTTATTTTTAAATTTTCTGATTATTCATGGATTTAAGTATTTCATATTAATAATGGAATATATTGAACATATACACTCAACCTTTGATAGAATTGTCCCCTATATACAATTACATTTAAATATATTCAGAAATATATACAACTTCTTCATACATTTTGACAATGTAACAATGCAATTTTTTAAATCTTTTAAATGGTTTGTGTTAATTTTGCAAAATAAGAAATGGTACTTGTTTTCTGTTTTGCTTCAATATTTATTAAATGAAGCACCATCCTCGATTATCCAGTGTTAAATATTTCCCATCTATTATGATATGTGCCCTGCCCCTGGACCTATTCGCCATCATTGTTTCATTTCAGAAGCAATGTCGCCACATCCATCACTTATTTAGCACAGACCTTCTCTTGCTCATGACCTTAAAAACAACCGAATAAAATGACAAACAAATTTTGATGGAATGTTTAGCAAGAACTTTTCCTGAATATTAAATAAGTGAGTTTGTGGGTATGGTTTTATGCCGCGCTAGGCAATATTCCAGCAATATCATGGCGAGGGACACCAGAAAAGGGCTGAACACATGACCCTGCTGACCCCTTGCGTATAAGACAAAGGGAGGGAAATCCTCACATGAGCAGGTGTTTGTTTGGATGGCATTGTTTAGTGTCATAGCATTCAAACCAAACCAAGAAATATAGGGATAAAAATTCACACTCGCTTGCTACCTCACATCAATTTCACAAATGTTAAAAGTATTCTAAGGACTGGAAGAATTTTGAACATTCTGGGGGTGCTGCTTTATGTTATCACAATTGGGGTGAGTGTTTAAGTGTTCATTTCAATCCCTGAAATGGCTCCATGATTGCAAATGAGTCCAAGGAATTGACCACAATAAAGACATAATACCCTGCATAACCAAGGATGATCTACCACTGGCTAAAGCACTAAAAATGATTTATAAACATACAAAATACTTGGTTACGACATATTTGCAAGATATGAACATGGACAATAACAATCATGCAGTTATTAGTGAAAGCATTGGATAGAAGCATGCAGATGAACAGATTATTCAACATTATTGAAACCAAACCTCCACGGGGCAGTCCAAAAATTAGCTCCACTGACCTGATGCTATGGTATGCAGTGATGTGGGCACTTATACCTAAATCATACTTTATAACTAATCCCTCAATACATGTTTATGATGACAATGTATAAGAAACTGTAAATGTTATTTGTTGAATAAAAAGGGTTAAGAAATTTTATATTTTTTTTTCCATAAAAAATCCCAAACAAATATGTTCAAATACATGGCAGGAAACCAGTGATTAATAGTTGCACTTTATGATTTTCTCAATACAGTTTACCAAGTTTAATCAGAACTTGATAACAAACAAGTTTTGCAATTTTTCGTTTTTCACGAACTCCTCGCTTTTGAAACAAGAAGAAATAAATAATTCTTGGTACAAACAATGATACAAGTATATGCACTGCAACAACACAACCTCCATTAAGTGCAAATGTCAAATGAGTGTACCATTCTGCACCCCGAGAAGTTGATGTTAGTGTTAGATGTGAGTTAGAAATCTAGTGTTAGAAATGCAAAGTGAGTGAGTGAGTGAGTTAGAATGTTTTTTTTACAATATTCCAGCAACATTCTAACAATACTACAGCAGAACAACTTTTCAACAGCTCTCATTATCCTTATGGAATACTTCTGACAACTGAAAAGCAAAATAAGGCCTAATTCCTGGTATCTATACTGCCAGGAATACTCTTGGATGGTAATATGAATAGGATTCTCAGGATCTACTCAACATATTCTTACTTTTCATCCTTCTCAGTTAAAAAGATTTGCACAGATTGAGAACTATATACAGGGATTTACCTGGACCTTACAAGCCAATAAGGTTTACAGTCACATTACCACTTCATCCTACCGGGTTCCCATTTACTGTTTCAAACAAAGTCACCTACCCAAGGACACACTACATGTGTTACATGTGCTTCAGTGAAGGGAAGGAGTGAGTGAGTAAGTGAGTTTGATTTTACGCCGCTTTTAGCAATATTCCAGCAATATCACGGCGGGGGACACCAGAAATGGGCTTCACATATTGTACCCATGTCGGGAATCGAACCCGGGTTTTCAGCGTGACGAGCGAACGCTTTAACCACCAGGCTACCCGACCACCCCTGTAGGGAAGGACTCAAGTCTAAGCAACTCTCAAGAATCAAGCTGCCAAATTTTCCATGCAATGACTCTCTGTGACCGACAGTGCTTAACTGAATGCTGTACACAGGACCCTGTGTCACCCTACAATAATACTGACCAATTTAGCCAACTTAAAAGAGACAAATCTTTTTATATGTCTCCAATACTGATTTTGTATTCAAGTTTAAAATATTAATCTGTCATGATAACTTGTTGATGGAATACTGCATGTTAGTTTTATGAAAATGTTTCTTGTAGTATACATGCAAAGTACAGGTATGGAGGGGAACCTTTCTCCAACATGCTCCGCCATCGCGATCACGTCTAAATAAGTTCAACTAGGAGGAAAAGTAAAAGAATAAAGAAATAAACAATGATAAAAATGCTGTAGAGAAATATAACAAATTATATCAATAAATTAAAAGTGACAGAAAAATTTGGGATGGGCAAAGGAACAGTCCATTTTTATAAATCAAATTTACTGCAAAGACTGTCATATTTCTGTAATAAACAGTTGCGGTTATGGTCAATGACCCAAGTTGATGCGTCTCTTTTGGAATAAGTGTGTGTCGCCATAGTGGCAAAATAAAGTTGTGTCATTGCTGCCTGAAACATTGGAGAATAAACTCCGAACATTGAGGAATTACAGATTACCTTGTCTCAAAGGAATTAATTTCAGCATTATTTCCTATTCTCAAGTGATTAATTGTTGCTGGAATTTATTTTAATTTATCACAAATGGGCCTGGCAAGCGACAGCTGACCATCAAGGGCTTGGCTAGTACAAGAAAACTTTTCACCAGGTCTGGCTAGTTACAGCTTGACTGGGCTTGACTCAGCAAACTAGTAACCAGGCATGGCCATTAAAAGCAAGCCTTTCAGCATCCTGGCAAGTATAAGCAAGCCTTGCAACGGCCTGGCAAGAATTAGCATGCCTTTCAGCATCCTGGCAAGTATAAGCAAGCCTTGCAACGACCTGGCAAGTATTAGCAAGCTTTGCAACGACCTGGCAAGTATTAGCAAGCTTTGCAACGACCTGGCAAGTATTAGCAAGCCTTTCAGCATTCTGGCAAGTATTAGCAAGCTTTGCAACGACCTGGCAAGTATTAGCAAGCCTTGCAACGACCTGACAAGTATTAGCAAGCCTTTCAGCATTCTGGCAAGTATTAGCAAGCTTTGCAAAGACCTGGCAAGTATTAGCAAGCCTTTCAGCATTCTGGCAAGTATTAGCAAGCCTTGCAACGACCTGGCAAGTATTAGCAAGCCTTGCAACGACCTGGCAAGTATTAGCAAGCCTTTCAGCATCCTGGCAAGTATTAGCAAGCCTTTCAGCGACCTGGCAAGTATTAGCAAACCTTTCAGCATTCTGGCAAGTATTAGCAAGCCTTGCAACGACCTGGCAAGTATTAGCAAGCCTTGCAACGACCTGGCAAGTATTAGCAAGCCTTTCAGCATCCTGGCAAGTATTAGCAAGCCTTTCAGCGACCTGGCAAGTATTAGCAAACCTTTCAGCATTCTGGCAAGTATTAGCAAGCCTTGCAACGACCTGGCAAGTATTAGCAAGCCTTGCAACGACCTGACAAGTATTAGCAAGCCTTTCAGCATTCTGGCAAGTATTAGCAAGCTTTGCAAAGACCTGGCAAGTATTAGCAAGCCTTTCAGCATTCTGGCAAGTATTAGCAAGCCTTGCAACGACCTGGCAAGTATTAGCAAGCCTTGCAACGACCTGGCAAGTATTAGCAAGCCTTTCAGCATCCTGGCAAGTATTAGCAAGCCTTTCAGCGTCCTGGCAAGTATTAGCAAACCTTTCAGCATCCTGGCAAGTATTAGTAAGCCTTTCAGCGTCCTGGCAAGTTTTAGCAAACCTTTCAGCGTCCTGGCAAGTATTAGCAAGCCTTTCAGCGTCCTGGCAAGTATTAGCAAACCTTTTATTGGGCTTGACTTGAATCATGGTATTAGCCTTTCAAGGTCCTGGCCACTATTTGCAAACCTTTCAAGGCACTGTCTGGCCATAGAAAACCAAGGTCCTGGCTAGTCATAACAAACATTTCAAGGGACTGGTTAGCCATAGAAAAACTGTTAAAGGGGCTGGCTTGTAAAAGCAAAACATTCTAGGACCTGGTTAGCTAATTCAAAAGGCATACCATATTTGACATACAAAAGGGCCAAGATCCCCTAACTTCGATGTCCAGTACATACACAACCTAAACGCTGTGAGTGAGTAAGTGAGTAAGTGAGTGAGCATGGTTTTACGCTTCTTTTAGCAATATTCCAGCAATATCACTGCAGGGGACACCAGAAATGGGCTGCACACATTGTACCCATGTCGGGAATCGAGCCCGGGTCTTCGCGTGACGAGCGAACGCTTTAACCACTAGGCTACCCGACCGCCCCTCCACACTGTGTTTAGTGTTGTTCCTAATGAAGCCTTGTGTTAATGTCTGCCCTGATAAGTGTTGAACACAGAGGGAACCGTTCAACTATGGGTGAAACAGCCCCTATAAAAAGCCTGATTGGTTTATTTTGCAGCTCAATACAAGTAGAGTAACGTATAATGACACAACATTACCCGCATCGGGAGCATGGCTACAGCCTCAGTTTCACTCTCATTGTCAACACAGTCAAACTGAAAAGGGTAACCACGGAAACATCTAATATCACCTTGTAGTCACCAAGTGATAACAAGTTTGTTGTTTAATGTGATGGCGACCTATAGTGAGTTTAGATCAGACAATCCAGTGACTGATATAATGAGCAGCGATCCATGCTGTCAGGGGTATGACGACACAAATCATCAAGACCATCCTGTCCATGAATTGCCTCTAACAATTTGCTGGAGACACAGAATCCCCACACAAGTGTTGACAAGTACAATGTTTAAGGAGGGGTTTAGTCCTGGTGGTCTTCTCCTAGTGACTCTAGCATTATGGTTGTGACAATGACCCTTAGACCTTCAGGTTTAGAACACTGAAGTATGTATCATTACATGGATATATGTATACTACACTATTGAAGCAACTAATTTGTATATTAAGTCTGACATCAAGCATCCTGAACATGGCCGTCGGTATATCACTGAAACACTGTCAAAATCAAGAATAGCTAAAAGCCAGATTCTATAGCATGCTACAGTCAAGCAAAGCTCAAACTAAATATTCACAACGTCACTACCACAAAATTAAAAAGCATATTTCTAAAGGTTACCAAATTGAAAATTACAATTGAACAATCCCAACACAAGCAAACAATGACATGAACAAATGTATTATAGTACTCAAAAGAAGTTAAAGAACATCCGATTTGTTTAGTGAGTGAGTATGGTTTTACGCCGCTTTTAGCAATATTCCAGCAATATCACGGCGGGGGACACAAAAAATGGGCTTCACACATTGTACCCATGTCGGGAATCGAGCCCGGATCTTCGGCGTGTCAAGCGAACGCTTTAACCACTAGGCTACCCGACCGCCCCCGATTTTTTTGGATTTTTTTTAAAAAAAAAATTATATTTTTTTTTAAATGACTATAGTTAATCTGTTGTTTGATTTCTTTTCAGTAGTATACACAGATAATACAACAAAAGTGTTCTCAGTTCTGTTTTATAGAATTTCCCAAAACATACAGAGCTGGATAATTTGATATCATGCACAGCATACTGAATCCAATATGCCAGCATTAACTGCAAGGTTTGAAGGCAAAAGGGGCAATCTTAATTTAAGGCTGTCAATCAATAGACCATAATAACAAAGATGAGTTTGGGGAGACATGTCAAATGTCACGTTCAGAGAAGAAGTGCTGTGGTCTCTTGGCCTTGATTGTAAAGACACCATAATCAGAACGCATGCGACAGGAAAGAGAGTAACTGGACACAGTGAACAACAAACAACACCATTACCAACAACAAAAACAGCAAATGCAACACATTACCAAGTCTACTTGGAATGTAGCAAAGGGTTAGTTCTTATGTCTTGGTCAGCCAAGGCTTTCAAATTGTACTTCTGGGTCCACTTGCACAAAGCGATCTTAGCGTTACGCCAATTGTAAGCCTCTGTTAAAGTATGGGTACGATCATCTTAGCGGTAAGATCGCTTTGTGCAAGTGGGCCCTGGAGTAACTTAAATTCTGCGACCAAACAATGAAGATTTTTTTCACTTAAATCCTATGATTTCATAAAATATACAATTGCTGGAAATGAAAAATAAGGGAACATTTTAAGAATGTTGTGTGAAAAGAATATTTTCCCAGAACTAGAGTTATCTGATACTGGTAAGCCTTTCTCCATGCTCCAAGTAGACTTCCCTGCTCAGTGTTCTACCCCTGATACACACCTTGACTGCTGTCATTCTTGACTCACTGCCAGGTGAGAGAAGCGGAGAGGAAGCATTCTGAAAGAAGTCAAACCTCAACAAACACCATCCAATCACCAAACTACTCATCAAGCAAACTCACGACTTCCAAAAACCAAAATCATAAAAGCTCACAAATCAGAACAGCTGTGAATTCATGTCTCCAAATTCAAAAGGGTTCCATTTTCTGAGGTCGTTCTGATGTTACCCGTAATGGGATGTCCTCAGATCTTTCTTTCGTAGTAGCAAGTACTAAGATCTGATTTTTTTATGAAGTTGAGTGCAGGTCCTTCTGTTTTATAGTCCCATCTTTTCTCCGCGGATGGAGAAAATAATTTTAATAATTATTTGTTGTAAACTAATCAAGTCTGTGGCACCGTTTAATAAAATATATAAATGAAAACTTACTGGTTTAAGATAATAATGAGAAAAATAAATTGTCCAGAAGGAAATTCACAAACGGCAATATTACTTCCAATACAAAAACAAAAATATTACTTCTAATACAACAACAAACAAGACAAAAAGTGAGCAGGGCTCACTAATACCTCGACTTCAATTCCAACATACTCCTTAGTTCAAAACATGAAAAAAAAAAATATATATTTTCTCAGAAAATCCACATTTCGAAATCAAAATTTGCACTGCACATGTTCTATTGGTATGGAAACTGTACCCGCAATTGGAAAAGTACACATGAAGTAGTCTTCAAGTTATAGGTCGCACAAATGTTGATGTAAAAACAAATTCTGAGTGAAAGAAATGTTTTTTTCTGAAAAATACACATATCAAAATCCTACTGTTACTTGAGACAATGTGACAGTGCCAAATAGACACTGATGCCAAAGTATGTTCCTCTACACGCGTCATTGATATTTAAGAGAAAAGGAATGAGTTACTATCTTCAATTGTTCCTGTTATATGGAAAAGAAAAACACCAAGTAATACTACAATCTGAAATAAGTGATTGAGTTTGTTATGATGCCATTAGTTGAACAATATTTCAGTTATATCAAACCTAGAAATATTATTAGGGATTTGTATCCATGTTCACAGGATACGAGGCCCTTTTTCAAAACGTGATTTACATGAGTCTATGTAAAATTTTGTTTGTTGTTTAACACTGCACTCAGCAATATTCCAGCTGTTTGACAGTGGTCTGTAAATAATCGACAAGACAAACCAGTGACTGACATCATTGATCTACACAACTGGGATACAATGCAACAACCAAGTCAGCAAGACTGGCCACATGAAGATGGAATATTGCTGAGTACAGCATTAAACAACAACAAAAAAACACACACAAAAAGAAACCAACATTCAGAAAAGCATCAAAGTAAAGTTATCTTTTTTGGCCCTTTTTGAAGGCCCAAATATATATTTTCATGGCTTCAAAAAGAGTAGCCAAAAGCATCATTTTCAAAGAAATTAATTTAAATAACAGTAATATAATAAGAAGAATGTAACATGCAATAAAAATATTGCTCAGTTATTAATTTCGTCAAATTTTAAAAGTAACTCAGTGTCAGTTACTTTAATAAAAGTATGCTGTTGTAGAAATATACATCTGCAAAAAAGTTCATCTCTAACCAAATTATATGAAGATATCACCAAGAATAATTTCATTAAAACCTTGGTGAAGCGATAGTGAGCACCAAGATCTGATTTCAATGAGATTGTCTCCAAGAGATGCAAGAAGTGCAACATATCTGAAAGAAAGTCTTCTAACTGAAAAATGTACTTTTCATTTCAAATGCTTGAAACTTTGAATTTGGATGTCTTACCTTTTGGCTTTAGATAACAATGCCTTTTAGGGAACTTGAACTTTGCATTTATATCTAAAGCCAAAAGGTAGGGCATCCAAATTCAAAGTTTTAAGCAAAGACTGAGAGTCTCACTTCCGAGGCCCTATCCACAAAGTAACCTCAGCGCCGAGACTACTTACGATCATCATAGCACAACAATAGTGGAACCAAGCCTTTTCAGGACAGGCTCCAGAAATTAATTTCAATCCAAAAAATAAGAAACACAAATTGAGCAGACTTTTAATCATGCGACAGAAGGTATGAGAAGAACGTCTCGTCAGTAGGGCTGCAACGATCCTTCTATAGGTAACCCAGTTTACAATGTTCTGCAGCTGTCCCAGAAACAGTGAATGATAAGATACCAGGAGAGTATTCTCCATTAACCTGGACTAATGCGCCACCATAACTTTGTTATGGAAGTGACGTCACCATCTCTGTTATCAGCAAGCTTCCTGAATCGTTACAACCCACATGTCATGCTGATTTATAATAAATAAGTCCAATCAGTACTTGGTTTACAGGTTGTTGACCCTTTCCGTGTTACCATAAAAGTCTGGTCAGAGGTAAAATAATGAAGAACCATTCCTATCTGCATTTACTTTGGAGGTTCTATATTTCCAGGAATTTGCTTACAGACATTGCAGAAAGAACAAATTTTCTTTTATGTTTATTGAACTTCAAGGATGAGGCACAGACAATCATGAAAAGGGTTAACTTTTGGCCCAATGGAAATGTCTGACTTTAAGTTTAGGAAATCTTTGAAATGATGGTATGGAAAGTATCGTAAATTTTCAAATGCCTGACAAGAAGCCTTTTCCCGTCTTACAGTTGACTATTTTGGACTTCAGACAAAATGTATCTAAGTATGGCTACAATGAGCAAAAGAGGATGATTTTCTGAGTTGAAAGTCAAAATCGCACTATCAGCAAGTATGAGATCCAAGATGAAAATGTTATGTTTGTTCTGACCTTCTTTTTTTTACCCACATCTAATAAAATCTAAGTCAAGACTTCCTCATGTTTAAATATTAGAAAAAGCTTCCTAAAAGTAGCTAAAATCAGACTTATTGACACAATGAAACATTTATTTTGTATTGTTAGAATTTCAAACCTTAAAGTGTAATAATGTATTCTAATGCACGTTCAATTACTTTTAAATAAATTTGTAAAAGTTTTCCTTATGTCTAAAATTATGCAGGTCCTGGCCTTAAATGGTCCTCATCATATCATGTCCTCACGTTTTAGGGATTTGGATCTGTAAACCAAGTATAGAATGGAAAAATGCTTACAACTGATTTCATAGTGTGTCTGAGGAACATTCTCAAGAACCATGCCAGAAGAAATGCATGCTTCTTAATGTTCAGTTGGACCAATCATTGACCAGAGTCAAACATCCTTGTTGAAAAAGGTGGCAGCACTGACATCATATTGTACCCAACAAATGAATGCTTATTGATTGAATCAATTTCAATTCACGATTCTTGTTTTGAATATTATTATGATTAACAAGTTATACATTGGATCTATCTCACATATATGACTGGTCACAAATAGCAACAAAATCATTTTCCCGTGTCTTTATAATGTTGTTATTTTTAAATCTATAAAACAGTTTCCAACCAATAAAATGAACTTTAAATGTCCTGCAGTAAAGGCTGAAACATTTTACAGATGCACTCAACAATACAAAACATGCTTCGCTTAATTCTCTATTGATATGAATCATTCGAAGCCATGACTATAGGTGTCTGGCACACAACTCTGTACCTCAAACTACTGTTCCCAAGAGGCCATGACCTTGAAATCAAATATTGGAGTGAGTGAGTGAGTTGGGTTTTACTGCCGCTTTTAACAGTATTACAGTTATATTGCGGCGTTTCAGCTTTATGTGGGAGGAAAGCCTTTGTTTTCCTTTGCTATCACATGGTCAGTTGAAAATTAGAACAACAAAGTATTGCGACTGGCATATACAACAGTGTATGGTTTCAACCCTTTACTGCAGTTGAAGTTATCATTAGATTCATTTGCATCATTGTTGAGGTCAATATGGTTGAACAGCTTTGTTCAGCTCCTGTCCCCATCATTGAAAGAGATCAAACAGAAGACAGATAAAGAAACTGCATCACACAGAACGAGAAACAAACCACTTACAACCACGACTGACTCTGGTGGGAGCAGTGCTGCTCTCTTCAACAAAACAAATCATGAGCTGAGTGAGCTGGGTTTACGCCACTTTACCCAAAAGCCGTAAAACAACTCCCCAATCTTTCAGATTACTATAGTTAATCTGTCATGGAACCAATGCTGTAAATGCTAAAATTTCAAAGCCTTATATATATTTAACCAAAAAGAAGTAAAAGAACACCCAAGTCTTTCACAGTACTCAAGTTAATCGGTCTTGGAACCAATGGTTTATGCTTGAGGCTTCACATGCTAAAATGTCTACGCATCAAACACAAGCAAATCTGTTAACACAATGTTCATCGACATCATACACATTCTGTATCCTCTCAAGCAGACATGCAGGACTTCACTCTGTAATGTTTGGACATCAGGACACCAAAAATGATGTCTTAAGTGTCCATGACAAGAAAACCTAAAGATGCTGTTTAAAACCAAAAAAAGTAATTTTGTTCAAGAAACACAATAAATGAATTTGATATTGACATGCCATCAAGAAGAGTGTTTATACACTTTGAAAAGTCCCGAAGATTTGCAACACACACTCCCATGCATTTTACAACCTGGGATTCACCCCACCTGTCAGTGGATTTGGCCATGGATGCAACTACGCAGTGATCTGCGACACCCTTAGCCACCTTGCCAGACTGCTATCCCTGTGTAATCATTGATACAAGTAACGTCTTGTTGACCAAACTATTATTGAGTGAGCTTGACAGTGATTATTTTTAATGCAACAGTCAGCAATATTCCAGCTATAGCATGATGCCCTTGACAATACATACCAGGGCCCATGTTATCGGGATATGACGGCACAGAATTGACCAGGTCACTAATAATAACTAACTGCCTGATCATGCTGATTCTCTAAAAAATAGTCAGCAAACACAAGTTACTGGGACCTATTCTGCCCTGAGAATCCCCATAGGGAGACAAGCATGAGTGACTGGGGAGTGGGGACCTACTCTGCCCTGAGAATCCCCATAGGGAGACAAGCATGAGTGACTGGGGAGTGGGGACCTACTCTGCCCTGAGAATCCCCATAGGGAGACAAGCATGAGTGACTGGGGAGTGGGGACCTACTCTGCCCTGAGAATCCCCACAGGGAGACAAGCATGAGTGACTGGGGAGTGGGGACCTACTCTGCCCTGAGAATCCCCATAGGGAGACAAGCATGAGTGACTGGGGAGTGGGGACCTACTCTGCCCTGAGAATCCCCACAGGGAGACAAGCATGAGTGACTGGGGAGTGGGGACCTCCTCTGCCCTGAGAATCCCCACAGGGAGACAGGTATGAGTTACTGAGGTAATGGGGACCTCCTCTGCCCTTGGAATCTCCGCAAGGAGACAGGTATGAGGTACTGGGGACCTCCTCTGACCTTGGAATCTCCGCAAGGAGACAAGCATGAGTTACTGGGGACCTATCCTACCCTGAGAATCCCCACAAGGAGACAGGTATGAGTTACTGGGGACCTATCCTACCCTGAGAATCCCCACAGGGAGACAAGCATGAGTTACTGGGGACCTATCCTACCTTGAGAATCCCAACAGGGAGACAGGTATGAGTTACTGGGGACCTATCCTACCTTGAGAATCTCCACAGGGAGACAGGTATGAGTTACTGGGGACCTATCCTACCCTGAGAATCCCCACAGGGAGACAGGTATGAGTTACTGGGGACCTATCCTACCCTGAGAATCCCCATGGGAGACAAGCATGAGTTACTGGGGACCTATCCTACCTTGAGAATCCCCACAGGGAGACAGGTATGAGTTACTGGGGACCTATCCTACCCTGAGAATCCCCATGGGAGACAAGCATGAGTTACTGGGGACCTATCCTACCCTGAGAATCCCCACAGGGAGACAGGTATGAGTTACTGGGGACCTATCCTACCCTGAGAATCCCCATGGGAGACAAGCATGAGTTACTACAGGAATTGTACCCTACACCTTGTACTGGCAAGTTACCAACACTTCTGACTTTAGACTATTGGACATTAACCTCTGTCCCAATAGTCTCAAACTTTTCTTGTAGGCAACAGAGTGAGTGAATTTGATTTATGCCGCTTTGAACATATTTCATGACAGCAAATCAGTTTGATGTGGGAGAAAAGTGATGCAGCTCTTCGACGTTTATCACTTATGTGAAACCCACAAGTACAGCGCTGACAAAACCCAGAAACATAATCAGGTAGATTTGAGATCTGAATCCACGACCAATGGTTTCTGGCATGCTTAAGAGACGTAACTCAGGTTTTGAACATAAAACATAACATTTTATGAAGATTTCCTTTAAGGAAAAGTTGTCATCTTTCTAAACCATCTCAGAGTGACCTACCGAGTCTTGTCCGGCATCAGAGTCGATGTCTGTATCCTGCTCTGATACAATATCTATGTCTGTGGGAAGCTCAGCATATTCCCACTCAATCCGAGCTGTCTGCTGCTTGTCGGGGGGATGGGCGTTTACAATCACAACCTTATCACGTGGATGAACCATCCCACAATTCCTGGACACACTCACTGCAGTTTGGATCATATCACCTGTAACAAACATGTTTGTATTTTGAAGTGTTGTTTAACTTTGCAATATTCAGGATATATGACAGCTGTCTGTAAATAACCAATTCTGGACAAGACAATCCAGTGTCTGACATGATGAGGTTGATGGGATACGATAACATGCATCAACCAAGTCACCAAGCTGGACCACCGATCCAGTTAGTCGCCTCTTTCGACAAGCATGGGCTGCTGAAGACAAATTCCAGCCCAGATCATCAAGGGGTCATCACAACAGTAAGGCCATCATGGCATATTGTCGCCGCATTACATTCTTGTATGGCTTTCAATTACAGAACAAACCCACCCCTGCTTCACTACAGTTCACAAAGTGTTGGTAAACTAGAGATTATTATATTGACGTATGTATACCATACTGATCTTACAAACCTTGTGTCAGAATTCATGTAGTAATTCGAACTGGCAGTTCATAAAATCAGTTTGACAATATATCATTGTATATTGCATGAGCAATCTCATTAAAACCAGGTCTTTTTCTAAAATACATACCTCTCTGTGTGAAGATCTGGCAAAACCTTCATTGGAGGTCATACTAGCTAGCGTACCTGATTACTGTATCGTGTTTCGGAACATAAACAGGCAGTTCCTTAAGGAAATAAAAAAAGCCACAGGATCCGCTATTGAAGGAATACGTCTGTTCTGCATGGATTTTCTTGAGCTTGGACCAAATTTCCCATCAAAGTGGTAAAGAAATAAGCTGCACTGATTTTGGGCGCTGGCACCTGATTGGCTGAAGAACTAGCAAATTCTTCATTCAGATTGAGAGGTCAATGTCTGCTGAGGATTCATGGTGTTCGTCAGACCTTCTCAGTGAGTTATATTTTGGGAGTAAAAGATCTGTCTTTCATGAGATTGAATGTTTCATCTGAATATCCTGAGTACCTGTGACCATGACTGTCCTGAGCTTGGCCTCCAGGAGAGTCCTGATGACCGGGGTGGTCTCTGGCTTCAGCTGGTTCTGCATCACCAGCAGCCCCAGGAATGTCAGGTTACACTCCACCTTGTCTCTGTAACATCCGACACAGACTTACACCTACCCAACACATACAGAATTCAGTCAATATTCATGGCCTTATCAAAGTGTTTACAAGTCTCCCTCTCCTAATTAAAGCCCATGTAAATAAGAAAATGGTAAAAAAAAAACCAATTTTGAACAATATCACAATTTTCTCCCAGTGTTTCAATCAACGGCACCTAGAGTGGAACACAACATAAATCCCTGTCTTGGGCCCTTTCATTCAATTTGTTAAGGATTCAGGTATCAGGAGCGAGTGGATAAGGGTGTTTTTTCTGTTGGTTGGAAGGTTGGTGGGTTGGTGAGTGGGCGAATTATTTAGCCAATAAATGAGTAGGTGAATGGATGTGATGTGATGTGATGTGATGTGATGTGATGCAACGTGCATGCATGTATGTGTGAGTGTGGCTGCTTGTACTAGTCCGGACAAATGCCTATTTATAGTGCTAGCCCACTGAGATACCATGCTACATAAATACCCCACTCAGACACAGTATACTGACTCCGAGCCAACCAGTCCTTAATGCTGAGTGCCAGACAGTATAACAAGTTCCATATTTTAACGTCTTTTGGTATGACGTGAGTGAGTGGATGGTTGGGTGATTGAGTTGGTTGGTGAGAGAGTGAGTGAGTGGATGGTTGGGTGATTGAGTTGGTTGGTGAGAGATTTAGTGAGTGGATGGTTGGGTGATTGAGTTGGTTGGTGAGAGAGTGAGTGAGTGGATGGTTGGGTGATTGAGTTGGTTGGTGAGAGAGTGAGTGAGTGGATGGTTGGGTGATTGAGTTTGTTGGTGAGAGAGTGAGTGGATGGTTCAGTGATTGACTTGGTTGATGAGAGAGTGAGTGAGTGGATGGTTGGGTGATTGAGTTGGTTGGTGAGAGAGTGAGTGAGGGGATGGTTGGGTGATTGAGTTGGTTGGTGAGAGAATGAGTGAGTGGATGGTTGGGTGATTGAGTTGGTTGGTGAGAGAGTGAGTGGATGGTTCGGTGATTGAGTTGGTTGGTGAGAGAGTGGGTGGATGGTTCAGTGATTGAGTTGGTTGGTGAGAGAGTGAGTGGATGGTTCGGTGATTGAGTTGGTTGGTGAGAGAGTGAGTGGATGGTTCGGTGATTGAGTTGGTTGGTGAGAGAGTGGGTGGATGGTTCGGTGATTGATTTGGTTGGTGAGAGAGAGAGTGAGTGGATGGTTCGGTGATTGAGTTGGTTGGTGAGAGAGTGGGTGGATGGTTCAGTGATTGAGTTGGTTGGTGAGAGAGTGGGTGGATGCTTGGGTGATTGAGTTGGTTGGTGAGAGAGTGAGTGAGTGGATGGGTAGTTTCTGCAGCATGTGGGTGTATGCACCTGCAGATATAAATACTGACCGTGAGATACGCTGGACCTGGTGCCAGTTGACTTTGGCCTCGAGAGGTCGGTATGCCAGGGCGATGACCCGAAGTCCCTGCACAGTGTAGGTGTGGAGGACAGGCTGGAAGTTCTCCGGCACTGACAACACACAACAGACATGCAGGTGACACAGTCAAGCATAGGAAAATGAGAGAAGACCATCTTTTCATTTTTATCTCATCTCTTACTTAAGACAATATTCGGTGTTAATCTCGCATCTGAATCTGATGTAAACAAAAATCATGTCACAACTTCATGGAAATAACTAGGTTTGAGTCTGACAGTAGCACGAAAGAAATTCATGTATTTATTGTCATGTGGCAGTACAGATTGTTGTAAGTTTGTTTGTTTTTTCTGGGGCAGCAAATGATTGAAGCAATGGTAATATGTCAACTGCTGTGGGAGTGGAATTTAGAGTTATCTCCCCTGGTTGTTAACAAACATGGCAGGCTTGATCATACAAGAAGTTTAGGGATGTTTCATGAAGGTTGGCTGTACCATACAAGAGGGACACAAGAACGATTTGAAAAATTTTCAAACATGACTTGCGTCTTATCTATTTGTCAAGTGCTGATTAGTAAACATCAAATTCCTGCCAGATTCCAACACTATTCTGGTTTCAAGGGAGCAGAGCATGGTCTTTTTTGAGAGATTCTACAATGACAAAAATTTGGATATTGGTGAGTGCACTAATATATTATATAGCCTGCCACTTATTTGTCCCACTGTTTTGCCTGTTTTGTTTGTAATCCTAAAACTTTGTGTTTCAACATAATTTATTGAGTATTCACTGATTTTGAGGTCATTTACTGATTTCACAATTTAGTTCTGGATGAACTGATTTCTTGGTCAACCTTTATGTTTCAGTTTGGAAATCACCTCAAAACAATATATCAAAAAGTACCAAGGGTACAAGCTGATGGCACCCTGGTTGAGAACGACACCCCAAAATGAGGACATGAATATGAGTGTCCAGTGTTACCAGTGTCAGGGTTACAGAGTGAAGCAATCTTCTCCGGTGCCCCCTTGGAGTAGATCTCCATGTGGTTGTGACCTAGGGTTCGTGTTATCACACTCATACGCTGCATGCTGGACGAGAAGGTGAACTGGCGCACAATTCCCACCTCGAACGGCACCTAGGAAACAGTACATTGTCTGTAACCATGGTAAATTGTACATTCAAAATATCAATAACAAATGGATTGTTAGCTTTTCATCTGACACATATACAGTCAGTGAGCTGTAAATATTCCAATTAAGTGCATCAAATCTATGCCTCAGCCTCCAAATCGTTTAGAATAATGTAACATGAAGACATAAAACTGTTTATGGATAACAACTTTCTTGTTGTTAGTGGCATCATTTCCAATGTCATTTCAGGGCTTCTTCTTGCCCCATCATCAGGTGAACGCCATATCTGAGCTTCTTGCCCTGTCATCAGGTGAATGCCATATCTCAGCTTCTTGCCCTGTCATCAGGTGAATGCCATTTCAGGGCTTCTTCTTGCCCCGTCATCAGGTGAATGCCTTTTCAGGGCTTCTTCTTGCCCTGTCATCAGGTGAATGCCATTTCAGGGCTTCATCTTGCCCCGTCATCAGGTGAATGCCATTTCAGGGCTTCTTCTTGCCCTGTCATCAGGTGAATGCCATTTCAGGGCTTCTTCTTGCCCCGTCATCAGGTGAATGCCATTTCAGGGCTTCTTCTTGCCCCTTCATCAGGTGAATGCCATTTCAGGGCTTCTTCTTGCCCCGTCATCAGGTGAACGCTATTTCAGGGCTTCTTCTTGCCCCGTCATCAGGTGAATGCCATTTCAGGGCTTCTTCTTGCCCCGTCATCAGGTGAATGGCATTTCAGGGCTTCTTCTTGCCCCATCATCATGTGAATGCTATTTCAGGGCTTCTTCTTGCCCCGTCATCAGGTGAATGCCATTTCAGGGCTTCTTCTTGCCCCGTCATCAGGTGAATGCCATTTCAGGGCTTCTTCTTGCCCCGTCATCAGGTGAATGCCATTTCAGGGCTTCTTCTTGCCCATCATCAGGTGAATGGCATTTCAGGGCTTCTTCTTGCCCCATCATCAGGTGAATGCTATTTCAGGGCTTCTTCTTGCCCCATCATCAGGTGAATGCCATTTCAGGGCTTCTTCTTGCCCCGTCATCAGGTGAATGCCATTTCAGGGCTTCTTCTTGCCCCATCATCAGGTGAACGCCATTTCAGGGCTTCTTCTTGCCCCGTCAGCAGGTGAATGCCATTTCAGGGCTTCTTCTTGCCCCGTCATCAGGTGAATGCCATTTCAGGGCTTCTTCTTGCCCCATCATCAGGTGAATGCCATTTCAGGGCTTCTTCTTGCCCCGTCATCAGGTGAATGCCATTTCAGGGCTTCTTCTTGCCCCATCATCAGGTGAATGCCATTTCAGGGCTTCTTCTTGCCCCGTCAGCAGGTGAAAGCCATTTCAGGGCTTCTTCTTGCCCTGTCATCAGGTGAACGCTATTTCAGGGCTTCTTCTTGCCCCATCATCAGGTGAACGCCATTTCAGGGCTTCTTCTTGCCCCATCATCAGGTGAATGGCATTTCAGGGCTACTTCTTGCCCCGTCATCAGGTGAACGCCATTTCAGGGCTTCTTCTTGCCCCATCATCAGGTGAATGGCATTTCAGGGCTACTTTTGGCACCTTCATTAGGTGAATGGCATTTCAGGGCTTCTTTTGGCACCTTCATTAGGTGAACGCCATTTCAGGGCTACTTCTTGCCCTGTCATCAGGTGAATGGCATTTCAGGGCTACTTTTGGCACCTTCATTAGGTGAATGGCATTTCAGGGCTTCTTTTGGCACCTTCATTAGGTGAACGCCATTTCAGGGCTACTTCTTGCCCTGTCATCAGGTGAACGCCATTTCAGGGCTTCTTCTTGCCCCATCATCAGGTGAATGGCATTTCAGGGCTTCTTCTTGCCCCATCATCAGGTGAATGGCATTTCAGGGCTTCTTCTTGCCCCATCATCAGGTGAATGGCATTTCAGGGCTACTTTTGGCACCTTCATTAGGTGAACGCCATTTCAGGGCTACTTCTTGCCCTGTTATCAGGTGAATGGTATATGTTAAAGCAGTTGTTATCCATTAAAAGTTTCATGTCTTCATGTTTTTCCAACTTCTGAATCTCAGAAAAAAACTGTTACTGTATCATGACATCTACCATAATCTGAACCCCACAAAGGTTAAACTTCTTTCTCTGCATCAAAATACAAACTACATCACACTCGTAGACATGTTTTAGTCATTACTGCATTGGGCAGGTGCAGGTGCAGGTGCTGGTGCTGTGACAGTGACCACTGACCTCATCTGACATGAAGCTGTCCTTGTCGGAGGGCTTGACGATTGTGGGCATCAGAGTGTCGTACTTCGTGGTGTCCTGTCCCGGCTCCTCCAGAGACTGAAGTCACAACATAACCAGGTCACACCATAATTGGATCACAGTTTCAACATCAAGGCATATCAACTTATAAAAAAACAAGGTCACACTTTATTCCAAAACATAATGGTGTTTAAATGCCCTGTGAAACATCTAGTTTCTATTTTAACACATTTGTGTTTAAATTCTCTTTGTATCGATACACTAAGTATGCTTAAATTCTCCTTAAATAACACAAATTGCTCCTGTCGCTTGCTACCACCTACCCAGTTGAGAGAATTAAACATGATGAGATCCAGAGGGTCCCCCATGAGCTCCCCATCAATCAGTGTGAGTGAGTGACAGGTTGCCATGCACACCAGAATCTGTGAACGAGGCAGTTCTGGAAGCTTCCGTATTGGCTCTTGAAAACTGAAATAGTATCACAGCTGTTGGCAGATACTGATGCAGGGATGAGTCAAAAGAATAAGGTTTACGATGTCGTCAATTACTGTAGTAAGTGCAGTTAGCCCACTTCCACACAATTTCTGTGTTTCGTTTGTTTCTGTTTAATACTGCAGCATATTCAAGCAATAACATGGCGCCCTAATACTTAACTGTCCCGACCACAACACTAAAATACACACTCTTGACATAAACGTATAAGATTGGGTATATGGTGCTGACAGAGCACAGATCATAGGGCAAGACTGGGATTCAAACTAATGACCAGCCAACATAAAGTCCTCATTGACAGTCTCAGTAGAGGCCTTATCTTCCCATGAAGGCCTCACAGAGGGTCTAGGCCATATAGGCCCCGAAGTCCTCATTGAGGGTCCAGGCCATATCTGCCCAGAAGTCCTCATAGAGGGTCAAGGCCATATCTGCCCCGAAGTCCTCATAGAGGGTCAAGGCCATATCTGCCCTGAAGTCCTCATAGAGGGTCTAGGCCATATCTGCCCTGAAGTCCTCATAGAGGGATATGGTCATATCTGCCCTGAAGGCCTCATAGAGCATCTAGGTCATATCTGCCCAGAAGTCCTCATAGAGCATCTAGGTCATATCTGCCCAGAAGTCCTCATAGAGGGTCTAGGGCATATCTGCCCAGAAGTCCTCATAGAGGGTCAAGGCCATATCTGCCCAGAAGTCCTCATAGAGGGTCAAGGCCATTTCTGCCCAGAAGTCCTCATAGAGGGTCAAGGGCATATCTGCCCTGAAGGCCTCATAGAGCATCTAGGTCATATCTGCCCAGAAGTCCTCATTGAGGGTCTTTGATGGGTTACTGCTGATGAAGGTGAATGGATCTGGGAAGCAACTTACCACTGGTTCTGGGCCGGCACAACTCCCCACATGTCCAGCCCATCTTCTGTCAAGGTTCCAGTCTGTAACAATACAAACTGACATCTTCAAACAGCTCATTCAACAATGGTGTGAACCATTTTCAAGTGGCATCTAGACAAGATAGGATTCATGACCAACTTCTTGATTACAACTAGAGGTGTATACAACAGTAAATCTGAACATATAGCACCTTGTGCTTCCAGTCAGAAAAATGATGTCCAGGCCTTGACCTTAATCTAGCCATCATCTTCAGATGCAGTAGTTAAAATCTCAGTTTGTACAAGATAACAGGCAATGAAAGAACCACATTTTACATAATATTGTTTTTACAACTTTATTCTGGTTCACATGATGATGCTGTGATTTCCATGAGCTTCACACAGCACTTAAACAGAAACATAGATCAGATCTTGTCAGGAACAGAGAGGTGTCACAGGAAAAGATATTGGGTGATGATGGAGAGAGGGATGTTGCCCCATTTAACCCAAACAGGAGAGACTTTCCTCACACAAAGATGTTATCTTATAATTTAACTTGCATAGTCTCTATACTTTGTTATTTTAATAAATTCTAATTTAGAAATTTCTAATCCTGAAATCTCACCCTGTCAGAAAACCACTACTGAATTCTCACCCTGTCAGAAAACCACAACTGAAATCTCACCCTGTCAGAACACAGTAACTGAATTCTCACCCTGTCAGAACACCACTACTGAATTCTCACCCTGTCAGAAAACCACTACTGAATCCTCATCCTGTCAGAAAACCACTAATGAATTCTCACCCTGTCAGAAAACCACTACTGAAATCTCACCCTGTCAGAAAACCACTACTGAATTCTCACCCTGTCAGAAAACCACTACTGATTTCTCACCCTGTCAGAACACCACTACTGAATTCTCACCCTGTCAGAACACCACTACTGAATTCTCACCCTGTCAGAACACCACTACTGAATTCTCACCCTGTCAGAACACCACTACTGAATTCTCACCCTGTCAGAAAACCACTACTGAATTCTCACCCTGTCAGAAAACCACTACTGAAATCTCACCCTGTCAGAACACCACTACTGAATTCTCACCCTGTCAGAAAACCACTACTGAATTCTCACCCTGTCAGAACACCACTACTGAAATCTTACCCTGTCAGAACACAGTAACTGAATTCTCACCCTGTCAGAACACCACTACTGAAATCTCACCCCGTCAGAACACCACTACTGAATTCTCACCCTGTCAGAACACAGCAACTGAATTCTCACCTTGTGATAACACTACTACTGAAATCTCACCCTGTCAGAAAACCACTACTGTATTCTCACCCTGTCAGAACACCACTTCTGAATTCTCACCTTGTCAAAGCAGAAGGTGTTGATCCTGCCACAGAAGTTGATCCTGGGTGGACTGATACAGAATATACCAGCTTTCTTAAGTCGATTCTGTGCGTAGACCGTACCAACTGTCATGGCGGCGGGGAGAGCAGGGGGGACAACTATCGTGATGATGTCCAGGACCCGGAGGACAATCTTGCCCGGATACGCCTGCAGGAATGTGAACCAGTTGTACTATAGCAACATTCTAATCACAGCAGGGATGCCAGTACAGGCTTCACACATTGTGTCAATATGGAAACAAGAGTAATTCTTTTGAGTATATTACCTGTATTACATCATAAATTCCTGTTCAGGCTAAGAATCGCACAATAAATTTTAAAAAATAATCAACAGACTCCCTCTTCAGTGCCAACAAATCTAATAGTTGTGAGAAAAACCCTGTCACTCTTGTTTGGTTTGATGAGCAATGGTTTTAATCATTAGTTTCTCTGCTTCCACTTGTAATTGAAAACTTCTACATTGCAAATGCCCAACTCTGAAACCTAACATATCATACAAGGACTCCACATCCCCTCTCAACATGTTATGAATCAGAAATATATAACCTTCCCCATGTTAACTGTATATACTAATAGTATACTATGGTCTGAAGTAACTGTTACTCCAACAAACCAGCTGGGCTGGTGACTTATAAATGTCACTAGTCCGCCTTGAGAAATGCAGGCCTGCATTTACGTATAAGGGGAAAATGGGCGGAGCTCACTATTTATAGTAACCAACGTGTCTCAATCTAAAATACATGCAGTAATCGGCAACGCGTGAACACCATTATGCACATCATCGTAGGTAACAAATTAACGTTGTTTATCAATTAAAATCATTTAAAAAAAGATTTGGATGTGAATGTTGTCTCGTTCTTTAGTTATTTAAGATTTTGGGTCACTGATTACTCGCTGACCGATCATTGCAACGTCTGTCAAACACTAAGATCTCGCAAAATACCGCGCTATTTATAATCCGTTTGGGATTTTAACATCTGAACTCCCTGGTATATGAACATGAAAGGAAAAATAATTCCCAAAGTAAGTGAAGATTTCATTAAAGTTATTAAAGTTCCCTATGACAAGAATGGGGTAGTGGGGACCTATTCTGCTCCACACAGGGCCTTGGTTAAAACATCGAGGTAACATTTAGCCTCAAAATGATAACTCACCCCCATTTGTGTTTCTATGATGATGGAATAGATCATGCCAAGGGAGGCAACTCCTGCCAGGAACAAGATGAATCTCATTGCATCTTGATAGAACTTGAAGCCAAGAGGTTTTGGATATAAGATTGCGCGAACGAGTTCACCTTTAGCCGTGTTGAAGCCTGTCAAAAGAAACATTGTCCATAGCTTCCGTCAAAGTGGTGTTTAAGAAATACTTTTATCATAAAGGATAAATTCAATGTGTTTCAAATCAAAATGTCCTTTGGAATGGCAACATTTCCTCATAACATAAACATGATTAAGCTACATAAGGATTTCCTGGCCTAAGAATAGACTGGAACAGTTCAGGGCTAAAATAAATTCAAGGTCAACACTCAAACCAGAGTCATCAGGAATGACAAATCCCCCAGACCCCCAAAATGCGAAAGCACAAATCATCTGGACGTTACAGAAGTCGAACATGATGAGTGAGTGAGTGAGTGAGTGAGTGAGTGAGTGAGTATGGGTTTATGCCGCTTTTAGCAATATTCCAGCAATATCACGGCGGGGGACACCAGAAATGGACTTCACACATTGTCCCCATGTCGGGAATCAAACCCGGGTCTTGGCATGATGAGTGAACGCTTTAACACCCAGGCTACCCGACTGCTCCCGAACTTGATGAAATCTGTCTGTCCATATACACGAGTAGTCAATGAGCTATCAAACAATACCATGGAATTGGACTCAGAACGTTGTATTTCTATGTGAGGTACACACCAAAATGAACAGAGGCAAAGTCAAACTCGTTGCCATGATAACATAATAAAATGAAAACTCTTAAAATCCCTAAATAGCAAAAGGCACCAATTCACAACCTGGTCTTCGTGGGTACAAAGTTTCATAAATTATCTATCTGTTTTAAAATGATTACAGATGGACAGACAAGCTTACAATATCCCCCCGAAATGACCTGAAATCTTGAATCAGTAGTTTGCTTATCTGCCTGGAACAGACAGTCCAGTGACATCATGTGCATCGATTGACGAGAAATTGGGATATGATAACATGAATCAGCCAAGTCGACCTCATTTACATATTTATCAGTTTATCGCACATTTAACATGAGCCATGATATGAAAAATACAAGATCACATTCCCACCTGTTCTGACGACCACAGCGAGCACCTTGGCCTGGCCATAGTATCTGGTCTGGACAACATGAGTTCCAGCAAACAGCGTGTGTCTCTTGTGATTTTCTGGTGTGTACACCTCTTCGTCCTCCTGGTGGGACAGCGGAGTCTTCGTCACCGGCACACTCTCACCTGCATACAGGTCAATACAGGTAAACACTGAAACCTTGTTCTTAATGGGGACCAGTGAGTGTTGGTTGGTTTGTTGTTTAACGCCGCACTCAGCAATATTCCAGCTATATGACGGCGGTCTGTGAAAATAATCGAGTCTGGACCAGACAATCCAGTGATTGATATCATGAGCATCGATCCATGCAATTGGGATCGATGACATGCATCAGCCATGTCAGCGAGCCTGACAACCCAATCCCGTTAGTCGCCTTTTACGACAAGCATAGTCACCTTTTACGGCAAGCATGGGTTGCTGAAGACCTATTCTACCCCGGAATCTTCACGGGTCGGACCAGTGAGTGAGTGGATAAGGAGAAAAGCATTGTGTGTTCATTTTTCTGATTTGGAGTTGCTATTGTGTGATTGATCTCTGTAAAATAGGCAGGTTTCAAATATGTAACGATTTTTCCAGCACCAGATACTTAATAATACCTACAATTCTGAAATGGATGATGTTTCCTGACATCACAAAATACAAAAATTATCAATAGTTGTCTGTTGCACTTTCTCACAGCTTTGAAGCTTCATTTTGGTTTCGCCATGATGTTGCTGTAATATTGCTAACAGCAGTGTAAAAACCAAGTCACAGCTTTGAGACAGACATGACCTCCCTCTAGAATGCAATGACGTCATGTGGGGTTAGTACATATTTTAAGTGGGGATGTAGTGACTAAGTCATATGCATGTGTGACTACTGAACAGGCATGATTAGCAGAATCTGATGTTGATCAAATCACTCAAACCAAAGTTAATATATGATGAATGTGGTATCCATAAAAACATGCACTCTCCTTCCCGATCTAAATCCAGATTTTCTATTTAAATAAATTTGGGCGATTTTTTGTTATTAATACTAGTCGTAACACATGTCCTACCGGTAAGTGAAATGTTGTGTCAGTCTGGTTACCTTGGTTACAAGAAACACTGCAGGATGTTTGGGGACACACCAAATCCTCACCTGTGAGCATGCTCTCATTGACAATGCATGTTCCGGCAACAAGGACCGCATCGCACATCATCACACATCCGTGAGGGGGGATGGCGATCAAATCACCAGGGACCAAGTTCTGGTTGGGAATTTCCTCGAACTCTGTCACAAAGAATCAGTCAAAATGGGATTAAACATACTTTTTTGCCACTTCTGTATATTTTCTTCTATAGCATCCTAGGAGACCATTTACTAGAAACTATTTACTGGAGGACATTTACTCGAAAGTATTAATCAAGACGGTTTACAAAGAAGGTTAATATTTCCAAACTCTTTTAAAGATGATCATGTTCCTGTAACATGATTGAAAATGCAGCTCTGAAACCGTGTTGCTAATTTGTTTATCAATACACAAACTTAAAAACTATGTTAAAAGTGCAGATGTCTAGAACAAAATTGGGTCATAATTTAGAAGGCTGTGTATACAGCCAAAGTGTCTGTTCTCTTTAAAAGAAACACGACAGCATATCAGCTGCCAAAATAATTCATTTGGGCCTGGGATAGAATACTGCAGCTTCATGTCAACATCGTGTTTCTCACCCTGACCACCGCGACACACAGAGATGTTTGTTTCCAGAGACCCCACCATGTCACTGAGCGTCCGACTTTGCTGAAACAGAATGACGTTCAGTGAGCAACTGCTGCAGTTCACATTAGCCACCTGTTCAACTAAACAAATTAATGCACATTAATGCACATGCACTTTCAGATTCATATCTTGTAAAATGCAATCTATGAATATGACAATGGCATAAACTAAACTACATATAAATGTAATTTAATGCCTTGCTGAGAGATTATTGACCCATTTTATCTAATACAGGGAGACTGTGGGATTAACGACCTGTTTTGTCTCATACAGGGAGACTGAGAGATTAACTACCTGTTTTATCTAATACAGGGAGACTGTGGGATTAAGGACCTGTTTTGTCTCATACAGGGAGACTGAGAAATTAAGGACCTGTTTTGTTTCATACAGGGAGACTGAGAGATTAACTACCTGTTTTGTCTCATACAGGGAGACTGAGAGATTAACTACCTGTTTTGTCTCATAGAGGGAGACTGAGGGATAAACTACCTGTTTTGTGTCATACAGGGAGACTGAGAGATTAACTACCTGTTTTGTTTCATACAGGGAGACTGAGAGATTAACTACCTGTATTGTCTCATATAGGGAGACTGACAGATTAACGACCTGTTTTGTCTCATACAGGGAGACTGTGGGATTAACGACCTGTTTTGTCTCATACAGGGAGACTGAGAAATTAAGGACCTGTTTTGTCTCATACAGGAGACTGAGAGATCAACTACCTGTTTTATCTAATACAGGGAGACTGAGGGATTAACGACCTGTTTTGTCTCATACAGGGAGACTGAGAAATTAACTACCTGTATTGTTTCATACAGGGAGACTGAGAGATTAACGACCTGTTTTGTCTCATACAGGGAGACTGAGAGATTAACTACCTGTTTTGTCTCATAGAGGGAGACTGAGGGATAAACTACCTGTTTTGTGTCATACAGGGAGACTGAGAGATTAACTACCTGTTTTGTTTCATACAGGGAGACTGAGAGATTAACTACCTGTATTGTCTCATATAGGGAGACTGACAGATTAACGACCTGTTTTGTCTCATACAGGGAGACTGTGGGATTAACGACCTGTTTTGTCTCATACAGGGAGACTGAGAAATTAAGGACCTGTTTTGTCTCATACAGGGAGACAGAGATTAACAGCCTGTTTTGTCTCATACAGGGAGACTGAGAGATTAACAGCCTGTTTTGTCACATACAGGGAGACTGAGAGATTAACGACCTGTTTTGTCTCATACAGGGAGACTGAGAGATTAACTACCTGTTTTGTCTCATACAGGGAGACTGAGGGATTAACTACCTGTTTTGTGTCATACAGGGAGACTAAGAGATTAACTACCTGTTTTGTTTCATACAGGGAGATTGAGAGATTAACTACCTGTATTGTCTCATATAGGGAGACTGAGAGATTAACTGCCTGTTTTGTTTCATACAGGGAGACTGAGAGATTAACTACCTGTTTTGTCTCATACAGGGAGACTGAGAGATTAACTGCCTGTTTTGTCTCATACAGGGAGACTGAGAGATTAACTGCCTGTTTTGTCTCATACAGGGAGACTGAGAGATTAACGACCTGTTTTGTCTCATACAGGAAGACTGAGAGATTAACTACCTGTTTTGTCTCATACAGGAAGACTGAGAGATTAACGACCTGTTTTGTCTCACACAGGGAGACTGAGAGATTAACTGCCGGTTTTGTCTCATACAGAGAGACTGAGAGATTAACTACCTGTTTTGTCTCATACAGGGAGACTGAGAGATTAACGACCTGTTTTGTCTCATACAGGGAGACTGAGAGATTAACGACCTGTTTTGTCTCATACAGGGAGACTGAGAGATTAACTACCTGTTTTGTCTCATACAGGGAGACTGAGGGATTAACTACCTGTTTTGTGTCATACAGGGAGACTAAGAGATTAACTACCTGTTTTGTTTCATACAGGGAGATTGAGAGATTAACTACCTGTATTGTCTCATAGAGGGAGACTGAGAGATTAACTGCCTGTTTTGTTTCATACAGGGAGACTGAGAGATTAACGACCTGTTTTGTCTCATACAGGGAGACTGAGAGATTAACTGCCTGTTTTGTCTCATACAGGGAGACTGAGAGATTAACTGCCTGTTTTGTCTCATACAGGGAGACTGAGAGATTAACGACCTGTTTTGTCTCATACAGGAAGACTGAGAGATTAACTACCTGTTTTGTCTCATACAGGAAGACTGAGAGATTAACGACCTGTTTTGTCTCACACAGGGAGACTGAGAGATTAACTGCCGGTTTTGTCTCATACAGAGAGACTGAGAGATTAACTACCTGTTTTGTCTCATACAGGGAGACTGAGAGATTAACGACCTGTTTTGTCTCATACAGGGAGACTGAGAGATTAACTGCCTGTTTTGTCTCATACAGGGAGACTGAGGGATAAACTACCTGTTTTGTTTCATACAGAGAGACTGAGAGATTAACTACCTGTTTTTCTCATACAGGGAGACTGAGAGATTAACAACTTGTTTTGTCTCATACAGGGAGACTGACTGTTATGTCTCATACAAGCTTTGAGATGGCATACTCTGTTGTTCTCACAGAGGGAGATTGAGCTTGACCTACCCGTTTTGTCTCATACAGGGAGACTGAGATTGAGATGAGTGAGATGAGGAAGATGCAGCTGGCGTAGTAGTAGTATTCGTCGAAGGCCCACAGGATGATGCTGCACACTTGGAAGATGTAGAAGGGATTGAGAACCTGAAGAGTGGCAAGAAAACCAGTCACTAGGAGCACACAGGGAACATGAGGCATTTGATAAGGCATAAATCTGCATGACTAGTATTCACTCGGCTCGGCTCGGCTCGGCTCGGCTCGGCTCGGCTCGGCTCGGCTCGGCTCGGCTCGGCTCGGCTCGGCTCGGCTCGGCTCGGCTCGGCTCGGCTCGGCTCGGCTCGGCTCGGCTCGGCTCGGCTCGGCTCGGCTCGGCTCGGCTCGGCGGGTTGAACATCAAAACTAATGCCGGTTTTATAGTCCCAGCCCACTAGGATACCATGCCACAGTTTAACATGGATACCCCACTAAGACACAATATACCAACTCCGAGCCAACCAGTCATTTTAATGTCATTTGGTATGACTTTATACTCTCCAGACAGAGGTTCTTTCCATGAAACCACGTAGGCGGTCCCACACAGACAGAAACGTAATACTCCCCACAAAGCTGCATGCAATAACAAGAATTTGTTTGTTTGTTGTTAAAGGCGGCACTCAGTAATATTCCGGCGATGTGACAGCGGTAACAAGAATGTGTGTAGCTTTAGTGAGTGAGTGAGTTGGGTTTAACGAGGCTTTTAACAATATTCCAGTTATATCGCGGCGTGTCAGCTTAATGTGGGAAGAAAGCCCGAAGTGATGCAGGTCTCAGACGTTTACCATTTCAGTGAAACCCACGAGCACGGGTATGGTGCTGACAAACCTAGAAACATAATTGGGGCGAACCTGTATTCGAACCAACAATCATAGGTTTCTGGCGTGCCCAAGGGACGCAACTCTGCACAGCGAATCACGGCGCCTTAGACGACTGGGCCACCCGTGCCCCCGCTTGTAGCTTTAAATGGACATGTGTGGGCTTGTGACGGTGATTGAATTAATTAGTTTTTAACGCTTCACTGAGAACCGCATATTGCACCGGTTTCGCATACGATAGGTTATCTCGCCTACATGTTATGTCTGCGACTGTAAAATCTCAGGTCCCCTTCCACAAAGTGACCACAGCAAAATGACAGTTGAAAGTATACAAAGAATGGGAGTTGCAATCGTCACACCCCTAATATCACCTTGTGGAACAGGGCTCAGATTTTTGCAGTGAAAGAACAAATGGACATTAAAATTATTTTAAAATTTAAGAGTAGGAAAGAAAATATAGTTTCACATGTTAAAGTGATTGAATAAGACCTGGACAAAAGGCATATCTCCATTCTGTTGTGACAAATACCCTTGACAAATTCCCCATGCAAGTGTGTACCTACCTCTTCTATAAACAGTCGCCAGTAGCTCTTCACTTCTATCACAATAGAGTTAAGCCCATGGAGGAGACGCCTGTAGAAAGAAATCACATCTTATTAAGTTATGAAATGTTTGATATTTCATAAAGGACGAGGAACAATTAGGGGGCTTTTTGTCCCACATGATCAGCATTGCTTATAAATGACCAGTGGGCAAAACAGGATCCTGTCATCCTTCATCCTTTCTGACAACATGTACCTTAAAACATCTTTATTACTCAATTACAGGGAAAGGACGTACAAGCTACAAACATCATAAAACAGACCAGAAATTGGGCAAACAGCAATGAGGAACCATATATGTTTTTGAGTAAAATTATCATTTACAATTTATACTTGACTCATACGAATTGTTTATCTCTTGCTCTTCCGAAAGGTAGTGGAAACTTCCTGAACTGTGTTCCCAGAGAACAGAAAAAACAGTTCACCCAAACGCACCCCCCGATCCGCACATGGGCACCAGAACCATGTGACCAAGCAGTGCTTTTGACACAAAAATCTGCATATTGGTCGGTGACTTTGACCCGAGAAATGTAATAAGTCAATGGCAAAAGTCAATAAATCTCACAGTTCCAAAAAGATGAACCATAACAAAATATCAATGCAATACCATTAGTGATTGGGTGAATATATACAATCTGGCCATAGAACTCTGTGATAAGAAAAGCCCTTGACTGAGTCACTAAAGCTCCTTACAGTGTGTCCCTATGATACAGAAAGTACAATGCAAAGACACACACTGCTCAGAATATTAGTTATGATTTTTGATGGCTGTGCATTGTTCCATATGATTGATACTGTAAGTGGGACTTATTGTTACTATTTACTATTTAAATTATGACAGCATTATGTGTAGCTTTTCTATCTGTCAAAAGTCTGACCAGTTAAACAAACCATCTGTCAAATTGAAAATTTATCGGTCTATGACCGGTGACTGACAGCCCTCTGAAACTCTGCCAAGCTGGTAACTCATCACTCTCTCATTCTATTCCCTCTTGTCCAAAACACAGGGGAAGAGGGGATGGCTGGGTGGATGCTTCAGCGTTTGAGTCAGGAAAAGAATAAATGATAATAAAACATATGTTTTTTGTTTCATGGATCTGCCTTAATTTGTTTTCCACAGACCCAAAACTTAAATAAATATACCTAGGCTTACTTCAAACACTTTTTTCAAGCTTTATTATTTTGACCATAATTATTCAAAATTAATTTCAACTTGCCTCAACATTCAAACATTCATCTCAAAATCAAACACTCAACCTGGCTGCCTTTTACCTGGTGCACAATTTGTTTGTCTGCCCATCAAGTTGAGCACGATTTGTTTGCCCTCTGTCAACTTCAACAAAAAGTGTTTGCCCTTGGTCTTAATCCTCTTACCACAAAAACAACAACAACAAAATCATGTGCTGATAGATGCAGCTGCAACAATTCAGAAACACAATATTTCACATGGCAAATAAGTGTCAATATTTTCACGTGCAGGGTTCTATGGTTAACCTCAGTTGTGTTTGTTTGTTTTACGCTGCACTCAGCAATATTCCAGCTATTGTGAGCAACAATCCAGCCAGTCGGGGAACAATGACATGTAAGCAACCAAGTCACCAAGTCTGCCCACCCGATCCATTTGGTTGCAATCTCTTTAAATCAGATGTTTGTTATCGCTATCGCTAAACAAAGTTCTGAGGTCATCCCAATACGGGTCACGTCAGAACGACCTTTTGCAAACTTTGACCGACCAATGGAGTGACTGACAAGAAATCGACATCAGCCAACCAATCGGAGCGTCGCTTACCAGATCATGAAAGTGACGGACGGAATGTGTTTTCTGATCATGCAACCTTGAAAAATTTAACAGAGGGTATCCCGAACAATAGTTACAGATATTATGATTATATCGATACAATCTAGGCCATCTATAAGCCATTCCAGAATGTTCTTTTTATCAGTTTTAAAATTTTTAATAGAGAATACATCAAAATATGTATCGAAGTGTAGTCGCCAGTTTGAAACTTGTGTCATAAAGCTCGAGAAAGCTGCCTTCGGATTGGCTAATGTCGATCTCTTGTCAGTCAATTCATTGGTCGGTCAAAGTTTGCGAAAGGTCACTCTGACGTGACCTGTAATGGGATGTCCTCAGATCTTTGTTTAGCGGTAGCGAAAACTTAGATCTGATTCTTATGAGATTGATTCGGTTGTCACTTAAGACCACCACAGGTTACTGGGGACCTATTCTAACCCTCAATCCCCGCGGGGGCAACCTCACTTGTGAGCCTGTGTTGAAGCAGAGAGTCCTGGAAACTCGTCATGGATGGTGGCACAGCGAGTTCCACTTGATAAATCTCTGAAAATGAACATGTAAATATGGAGTCACAGCAGTGGTGGGTAGCCTTGTGGGTGAAGTGTTCACTCACGATGCCAAAGACCCAGTTCAATTCCACACATGTGTACAATGTGTGAAGCACATTTCTGTGTCCCCTGCTGTGATATTGCTGGAATATTGTTAAAAGTGGTGTAAAATAACACTTACTCACTCATAGAGCAACAAGGTTCTGTAGCTCACAAGAATTATCCGAAATTTGACACTTAGTCAGCAAGATCATACAAGGATAAACATGGTAAAGAAGTATGAGCGTGACACTACAAGCTTGTGTACAACAGACATCCCAACTGTGTGTGCTTAAACAGTTAACATACACACTGAGACATGAATAAATAGCTATGAAGAGGGACATTTTGAATGTGGACAGCTGTGGCTAATTTTAGAAACACTATTGCAGGCATATACACAAAATGTCAGTTCCATTAACACGTTTCAGAGTAGATGTTGAACATGCTATGACACTTCAAATGTATTAGCTGGGTAAATATCTAAAAGAATCTAAAAGAATTTTATCACATTTTATGCTTTCTGCATATCAATGTTCAGAATGACACAAAGAGCAATAGGCAATAATTATTTTTTCAATATGGCTGCCGTTGCTGACAGACGAAGAGTATGACATCAACTCATCTAACTTTGTCAGGTGAGCTAAAAATTTATCAACATCCAACCAGAAAAATGTGTTGTAACTCACTCCAACTTCCTGAATGTGTATTGTTGTGCATCCCAGATGTAGCGGATCTGCTGGAAGTCGAAGTACCTGACGGTTGGGCTGTCTCCCGTGACAAGGACGGTCGTGTCATCCACATCTACTGGTGCATCATGGTATACATGGCGGTTGTAACCCTCGGCAGTGCTTGGGACAGACAGACAGACAGTTGTAGAGATCATAGTGCCACGTCACTGTAGCTCACCTGCATATGCAGTACAGTTTCAAAGTCAACAAGCTTCATTATATTTTCTGCATAACTACTGAGGACTAAAAACCAACACTAAAAATCTCATGATTTGAACAAAGTACAATGTCAACATAAGAGAAGCATACATTCCAAAGCAGGGATTGACTTCGGCCGCGATTCCACGATATTGTCGCATAGTTGTCGTAGATATCGCATCAACATTCAATCAGCGCGATTGAAAATCGTGTAGATCTTTCAATAGTTTTATCTGCCTTAACACTCTCATTTTTACCTACAAAAATAAAAAATTGCTGAATAAATTTATCTACGGTACCGAAAAATGTCAACAAAAAAACTAGTTTACTCAATTGTCAAAAATTGTCAAACGAAACAGCGATTTGCAAACTCGCAACTCTGCATGCTATCTCTTTCTGTGCATAACCGATTCCTATATCACTGCATGGAGCTTTGCATCAGCTGACAATGGTGGAGTGCGCAACATTTTTTTTATCCCCAATTGGTAAAACGAGTGTTTGTTTTAACAAACTAAACACTTTGGTAGTGCACGAAAATCTTATTCTGTCATCTAAAACTCCAAGTCATTAAACATATTTTTTTAAGACCTAAATCCTAGCAGAAATCAAAGACGTTGATCTACATGTATGTGCATCCGTGCAGAAATCAAGAGAAAAAAAGGCAATCACGGGTAAAGTTTCAAAACACAATCATATTTCGATTTTGGACTGACAGCAAAACAAATATTAAATGAATATACATACAACTCTTTCTCCATACTAATCTACAAATTTCAGATCAGAAACAATCGTATTTTAGATGAGATTTACCTAGCCTTAAGATACGATGGCACTGGTGGAAGAGTTTTCATGAACGTTCCCTCGTGCAAGAATGGCCACTGTGAGTGAATAACAAATTTTGAACTATTTCTAGTGGCCCAACAGCAAGTTGGATTTAGAGTTTTTAGAATATGCTATGATACGTTTACTTCCAAATGTGTCCATAAAAATTGAAAACTGTGACTAAATCATTCAAATGTAACTCTTAAAACATCGTGAATGTAAACAGTCTTTTCAACTTCCGGTTACTTGTAAACATTTTCTGGTTGCTGCACATGGCCAACACGCCGCCTTTTGTGTGAAATAAATGACTTAATTGTTGCTAATTAAACAAGAGGATGAACCTGGAGCAATAGTCACTGTATAATGAACTGTCACTTCTAAGTGAGTGAGTGAGTTGGGTTTAACGCCGCTTTTAACAGTATTCCAGTTATATCATGGTGTGTCAGCTTAATGTGGGAAGAAAGCCCGAAGTGATGCAAGTCTCAGACGTTTACCACTTCAGTGAAACCCACGAGCACGGGTATGGTGCTGACAAACCTAGAAACATAATCGGGGCAAACCGGGATTCGAACCCACAATTATAGGTTTCTGACGAGCCCAAGGGACGCAACCCTGCACAGCGAATCACGGCGCCTTAGACCACTGGGCCACCCGTGCCCCCCTGTCACTTCTAAATAATTGAAAAGTCCATATTGATGAGATTTCATTTGATACAGTCAGAGACCAGGCCTCTGATATGGTACACATTTCAGACGGAAATAAGACGGCGAAATTGACGAAAGCACAGGAATATAAATAATATATTTTGGGCCAACAAACTGTAATACCATTTACAACAGTCGCTATTTCATGTCATCACTCTTAATATATTGAATTACGATTTAAACATACATTGTCGAAATTTGATAACTGAATGCCAACGAAATGAACAAAATGAACGAAATGAACAGCTGATGGTGGTTAAAATGCCTACTAAACGAACTATAATTGTCCTCGCGAATAATTCCCCATTAAGTCGACAATGAACAGAAATAAATAAATATGAGTGTAATTACTCCTAAAGTAGACAATGAACAGAAATATAAGTCAAATGTAATTTTCCGTTAATAATTATGCTAATATTTTTGAATATATGTATACGCACTGATATAATTAATGTTCGAAAACAGGATATCCGAGGATTTATCTATATAATCTGGTTATATTATTTGCAACATTATCTGAGTCACAAGTACCAAAAATTAAATAGTTTCCCCACTGTGAGAAGATGACATATCTCTGAAAATTAGCAAAAACTCATCACACGCCAAAAAATCTCATTGCTTTAGCATGTTTAGGACCAGGGGAGATTTTCTCTCATAGGTAAAAATTTCAAAGATAATCCCTGCCAAAGTTTACAGCGCCAAATATGCATATTGATAGAATTCAAAAGCAGTCAATACTGCAAAAAAATGTAACCTACATTTTGAATCACACAACAACTTAAACAAATAGCAAAGTTTTTACATTTTGTATGAAAATGGCCAAGTAATGACCATGAGAAGTTTAGCATTCAATATGGTCCCAAGTGCAAAGATTAAATGTCGACAAAAGTTTGGAAATTTTAGTATAAATTGAATATTTATATACTTATCCTATCTCACACTTTGACATTTCTCCCTTCTTCTTCGATCCTATGTGGGAACGTGCTTGAATCATGTTTCCAGCTTCTGAAATAAAGAAGCCCCCCAAGCCCCCTGCATCTCCATGGTTACGTCCAAAAGCTATGTCAATTACGTGCCTCTCGTGCACACTGTGCCTGCTTGAACTGACCACATGTACACCTACCAGGTAAACCAAATCATTGACCTAGGATATCCATGGATATGCAGAAGCTGGCAACATAATTCAAGCATGTTCCCACAGAGGATCGAAGAAGATGGGAGAAATGCAAAGTGTGAGATCGGATTAAGTTTAAAAATTTATAAATTATTCTCACAAAATGGAATAGATGTGTTGATCCCTAAGTTTAAAACATGTCCCAAATAACGTGACATTTTGGAACAAGAGTCAGGTCAAAGTCAGAAGGTTTGGCTTCTACCACTTTTGGTTCCTTGCCTTTGGATACCTTCATTTAAGTGGGAAAGAAGATAATGCTGTTCATTATTTATCAATATCCCAGATCACCAACAGGCACCAGTTCACCACGAGACTGATCTGTATAGCAAGTTTCATCTAGAAATATTCAACGGTTTTGGAGTTTTGCTTTGTGAACGAACAGTAGCCTCATTTTCAGTAAAATCAAAATTGTCCTCATGAAAATAAAAACATATTAAAAATAAAAATCCCAATCATCAAAAGGCACCAGTTCACCACTGGACTGATCTGTATGGCAAGTATAATCCAGAAATATTCAGTGGTTTAGGAGTTCTGCTCAAGAAATGGGCACTACCCTTATTTCTAATTTTTGTCCAACTTGTCATGAAAAACAAAACATAATAATAGTTTTAAATAGTATATCCCCAAATCCCCACAACACTGATCAGTATAGCAAGTTTCACCTTGAAATATTTCAAACCAGGGGGAAAACAAAATGGCTGAGTAATGACAATGAGAAGTTTCAGTATTCAATATGGTCAAATCAAGGTTAACATGTCACAAAAAGGAAGATATATGTTGAGCAGTGTGCCAAAATGCATTTATTTGGTGATTCACGACAGCTGGATAGAAAATCATAGTTCACCTGCACCTTCAAGGAAGAAAAAGACTGGATCATTGTGGATAGAAACACCATAGCTCACCTGCAGCTTAAAGGAAGAAAAAGACTGGATCATTGTGGATAGAAACACCATAGCTCACCTGCAGCTTAAAGGAAGAAAAAGACTGGATCATTGTGGATAGAAACACCATAGCTCACCTGCAGCTTAAAGGAAGAAAAAGACTGGATCATTGTGGATAGAAACACCATAGCTCACCTGCAGCTTAAAGGAAGAAAAAGACTGGATCATTGTGGATAGAAACACCATAGCTCACCTGCAGCTTAAAGGAAGAAAAAGACTGGATCATTGTGGATAGAAACACCATAGCTCACCTGCAGCTTAAAGGAAGAAAAAGACTGGATCATTGTGGATAGAAACACCATAGCTCACCTGCAGCTTAAAGGAAGAAAAAGACTGGATCATTGTGGATAGAAACACCATAGCTCACCTGCAGCTTAAAGGAAGAAAAAGACTGGATCATTGTGGATAGAAACACCATAGCTCACCTGCAGCTTAAAGGAAGAAAAAGACTGGATCATTGTGGATAGAACACCATAGCTCAATTGCAGCTTCAAGGAAGAAAAAGACTGGATCATTGTGGATAGAAACACCATAGCTCACCTGACATCAAGAAGATATAGACTGTGTATCAACATAATAGCTCACCTGACATCATCAAGAAAGATATAGTCCACCTTGACAACGCTAGCATGGCCATAATGGTCCTGAAAAGATAATTGAGTAACCTTAGAAATAATCACTCAGTTTCATCAGCCATGTATTCTAGTTGTCTCAAACATGTATTGCCCCATCTTCCCGTGGCAAGAGCGTCCACTAGCCTTTTTATCAAAGTCTTGTTTCCAACCTTGCCACATCAAGCCCACTTTCCTGCGCTAAATATGATTGGACTGCGCATATATCGATAGTTCAATGAGACAACATTTCACAAAATCAACATCCACGGCTGGTACACCTTCATATGAAAGTGATTTCCCGCTGCCTGCCTTTGTTGACACAAACATGTCTTTGACATCGTATAAACCCCCCAATGATTGCCTATGTTTTTGTTATCTGATTGACTCGGTCACCATCTTAGTGAAGCTATACGAGATAAGAACAGCTATCTGATTGGATATCGCATTTTCATTACAAGGGGCACAAGTTGTGATCTACGCAAGGTTGCGCCAGGTTCGAGCCAAGAAAAGTGGCCTTGATGTGACAAGGGTAGAAACTAGGCTTTGATATAGGCCAGTGGATACACTTGCCTCAGGAAGATGGTATCGCCCTTACATTAATTTCTACTAGTTGAAATTGATTATGATAATATTAGTGGTGAAAAAACTAAAAACTAAGCTAATAAACTCAAAACAGGAGGTAAAAAAACAGAGTTTATTGTGAGCATGGTGAGAATGGTCATCTGATATCAACTGAGAGATTTGAGTGCTTCCTGGACATCCTCCATTTTGATCACCTAATCCCCAACCTAGTTTCTCCAAGTATGACATACCAGGAATCTTTTCTCCCTGAACTTATGCTTTGTCTTTATATTATAGTCATACATGGTCAAGGGGAGATAACTCCCAGCAGCCTTATTCCTGTGTTTACTCTTCAGTTAGTGGAGAGTAGAAAAGGGGTCTTCCAATAAGTCTTCCTTCATACCATGCGCTCATGGCTAGTAATAAATTACTTCCCACTACCCTTCTGAATCCATTATACATCAACTTAACAAGGTTAGTGTGTCACCTTTATCATGACGACCTCCGCCTTATATAGGGCACATCGCCTCTTCTTGAGGTAGCACTCCAGCTCCGGCTTCCAGTAGATGAGGAGGAGCACCAGGCCTAGGGACAGCACCACCATCAGGTAGAAGATCACCATCTTCAGCCCATCCTTTTCATATGACCGAAGAACCTACAAAATGTAGCCTTATGTAAAACATATTCAGTTCAATTTTTTCATAGCAGAGTATTGACTATGTTGAGAGAGACAGTTGAGATTAGGCCTTTACTTTCAGGGTTGGTTTCCGAGACCGTCCTCACTGACAAATTGAAAAAAAACAACAAGGTGAAATGGAAAAAATGCAAGATTCTATCACAACTCTTTGCTAGAAAAAAGGCCAATCAGTTATCTTTTGTTATCGTTTCACAATCTTGCTTCTTTGATGGTGTGACCTGCGACTCAGTTTTTCATTTATTAGTAGCAGTACTCATCTGGAAGTTGAAAATTATCATCATATTTTCTTTAAAATAATGCAAAATAAAGGCCTTATGTACATTGGATGTTGATTTGAAAAGTAAGTCTGTTCTATCACAGCGTGTCAGCTGTAATGTTGGAGAAAAGCTCAGTGAGATGAAGGTCCGAGGGCTGACAGTCAAGCCAATCATTGTAACTAGGAGGAATCTGTGATTAGAACCCATGGACTGCAGATCGTAGATTCTTATTTTCGTTTGTCTTGCAGCATTAGAAACTAATAGTTTTTGTCCACTGGTCCCCAAAAGGATAACATATAGCAACACCCTTATATTGGGCAAATGTCTCTTGTCCATATACAAGTATGCAAATTATTCATCAGCAATGTCACATGTGTCTGCAAAGCACGTGCACCAACATGTTGTTAATTTGGTGGAGCTATCTGGCACCAACTTGCCAAGGACTATAGGATAGGTGCCAATTGTTAATATTGTCCTGCATAAACACTTGTTATGATAGCATAGTGACTATTACATCAGAGTGAGTGGTTTAATTTCGCTTTGAACAGTATTTCACAGAGCTCCAGGTGAGCTGTGTATTTGTGCAAAATGTGCAAAACAAATAACCATTTCCGAATTAATTTTGTGTTGCGTGGGTACAAATACAGATGAAAAATCTGATCATATATCAATACTGCACAATTGCCCATTGTACTTATAGAGATTACTACACGAGTGTCTGTCAGATACCATTGATCTTACAACGAGTTGTTTCAAAACGTATCTAACGAGCAAAGCGAGTTGGATACGCTTTGTAACAACGAGTTGTAAGATCAATGGTATCTGACAGGCACGAGTGCAGTAATCTGTTTCTTACACACCCTAAAATCGCACCTTTTTAGCATCGAACCGATGAATTTTGTCTACTCTCATGATTGCAGTAGCGCATTAATACATAACACCACTGTCATAAGTGACGTCATCCTATGTGCTGCTTACTTCTCATAAATAATGTGACCCTACACAAAAAGGTTTCCGTCATATCTGTGGATTATCAAGGAGATGATGAAAATGCAAACTAGACAAAAACAAAGAACACGCTGGGTGCCAAGTTGAAAGTGTACACCTTAAAGAAATTACCAAATATGTACAACAATGTTTACTTCCGTATGACATCACTACCGGTGACCAACATTTACAAAATGGCGTGTTCACTGACAACAGTACGCGGGATTTCCAGAGGAGGATTTTCGTTGTTTGAGGGATCGTATACACATAAATGTTTCACGTAAGTTATCAGAAACATTCTTACAATCTGCGTACTGTTATTTGTTTACCATGTTTTCTAATGTAACAAAGAGAATTAGTCAGAAATGCAGATAAATACCGTCATCGTTGTGCGTGATTTAGCATCAGTCATGGCGTCACACAGGACGGAAACTTTTACGGCTTTAATTTACCACATCATTGTTATGTGTATATGTGTATTTCTATAATTAGTGCAACGATACTCTTCCCATGAATAATCTTAAACGCGTGATCGAGCCAATGTATGCAACACTTAGACGAAAGTACCTCTAAAAATGCTACACAGTGTAAAATCTGAATTTTGCTTTGTTTACATTTCAGCAAGTACAGTTTTCCAAGCACAGTTTTCGTTTCCATACCTAGACTCAAATTTATTTCGCATGATTTCATCTAGATAATTTGCATTGGTGACAAAGACCATTTATCCATTGTTTCGAAAATGTATGAGGAATTCAGGGATGCTTGTATAGCAGCTGAGTTTGAAATATACCTGATCGTCTAATAACCGGCATTTTGTAAACACAATCCAATCCAATATGGCGGAACGTATTTTCCAAAACATTATAAACGATTCTCGGCTTATCAGCGACGTTTCAGAATTATCATTAGTGATTTGATACCCATGATCGCTAATATGCTATTTTTCTTCTTTAATTATTCGAGTAAATATCTGATATTTAGATTTCTAAACACACAATAAATATTTATATAACGCCGTGAATTGTGATTTGGCGAGGTTTACAATGTATCTAATATTCAGAAGTCACTATCAGTAATTTTGAATTGCCTAAAATGACAGTAAATCATAAACAGAAGGGGGAATTCAAAACTGTGCACATGAAGTGTATTAGTCTGCGTGATGTATTTTGAATTTTATTCCATTTCGAAATGAGGGTTGAAGAGGAGGGACATATGTGTCCCTGTGGCATCCAGGGGGTTTACGCTCTGAAAAAACCCAATAATGTTGACATAACAACAGATAATGTAACTGATAATAATACCAAACAAACTCGCAGACGAGGACGAGTTTGTTTATTATTATTATAAATGACACGGCCCTGTTGTTCACGACAGACGTAGGTGAACATTCGACTGAAGCACGAGCACTTATGAATGACTTACACTCAGGAAAGTAGTCCGTCATCATCTGACCTCAGGTCATCACCATGGAGTAGCCAATCACGGGCCTGGAATTCGATCTCACACATATGTTTGATACCAGTTATCTCAAATGGGTTTCTCACCCACAGGTGTGTAAGTAATTCAATGATCCTTATTTACTGATCGAATGCAGGCATCATACACACACGAATTCTACTGCAATGAATATTATGCATAAAAATGGCGCAACATCTCATTTCCTGTTAATAAAACATGTATATCACTGTTGTGAGTTTATGTGACAGGTGGGGCAGCATAGGAAGATGATATCAACTAGATATCACCTGAAACGCTATAAGCCATCAGGGGATGGGGATAGGGATAGGGGGGGTGGGGGGGTGGAAGCTTTACAAGGGAGGAAAACCTGAACTGAACTAACCTTCCACTTGGGTGCATCCCAGGAGCACAGATGGTAAACTAATGATACAGGTGATGGGTCAGTTATACCACAACTATTCACATCAATACGGAAAATGGGACATTTCGGTCTCCTCATTATGATCATGCTTAATTAACCTTTATCTATTTGTAGGCATTATATTAGCAATTTATTGCATAATGAATGGCAGTGTGCCACACTTTTTTTGGCGGTAAAAACATTGTTTTACTTGTTACATGGGATTTCAAACCCCAGAAAACTGTTCACACCAAATGAATACTTTTCTTGAAAAGTATCTTTTTTCCCTTATACCAAATCTAAAAAAACCCATTCTGTTTGGCAATTGCATCCTATTTTAAGTTTGATCAATATTTATCTGAACATCATAGGTTTAATTGACTTTCTCCGCATTGCGCCAACCAGGCGGGTTCCGTTGTCATGGAAGCACATGCGATCCTGGCATCTTAGAGAGATGATGGTGATGCCATGTCTATCTGTCTCAGAACTGAGAGAGTTCCAGAAGAATGAGCATGCTCAGGAAAATTATTGGTAACATTTGCCGTTCACAATGTAGATAAAAACATGGGTTTTCAGATTTGTAGGTTTTAGTGAATATTTAAAATTTGAAACCTTCAGCGAACACTGTCAATTCCAACTGAAATTTCAGGACATGATCTCTAAAAAGGTGTGAAAATAGGCACAATTGTTTAATATGGTCAGCAATTCCTCAGTGGTGAGTGAGTACAAATCAATAAGAATGAAAGCATGTAATAAATACTGCCTAGGAGAATACGTGATATGACGCCATGTGAAGCAGTCTGCTGTATCATGATGATAGTGCCACTGGACGATGTAAATGATGTATTCCTAATCAATACATCATGTACATGAAACAATGCAGGAAACAATCTGACAACACATCTATTTCACTCACCAACCTTCATATTTATGCATGAGGCAGGTCAAAACAGTATAGTAAAGTACTGTTATATAGAAACTCAAAGGGACTACTAATTTTAGTTCGTTATAACCGTAGTTCGTTATAACCGTAGTTCGTTATAAGCATATATACAGTATAACAACACCAAATAGTCGGGACCAAAAAGGTAAGTTTGTTACATCCGTCAGTTCGTTATAAGCGTGTTCGTCATAACCGTAGTTTACTGTACTTTGCTCCACACAATGCCAGATTAGCTGCATACCTGTATATTTTATTCACAAAATATACACCATAAGGCCATGTGGTTTTTTTATAAGTTGGTTGACAAACATTCTGGCCTAATATTCAGCTTGTCCTAATATTCAGCTTGTCCTAAAATTCAACCTCGTACTGCTGCTGATGAATGAAAAACAAACAAATTTTTACATGACAAGATACTGAAAGATAATGGATTGTTTTTTTTGTCAGAATGAAGATTTCGATACCTATTATTCACATTTTCTTACAAGAGCGGTGATAAAAACTCGGGGTTTTTTTCATTTCAACTTATTGTAAAAGAGAGTCGGCCAAAAAACAATTGTCAAAAGTCATATATATATACAAATGGTCTAACCCAATTATTATTGATGAAAAACTATGCATGAAACATTTCAGAAACCTAATAGCATAACAGTAGCATACCCAAAAGACTGGGCACAAGAGAGTAAAATTATATTGAATACCCAAAGGAGACTATCACTACCCAAATGTAAAATATGAGCAAATAAACTGGTGTTAAACTGTCAATTTGAAGGCATGTCCCTACCACTGTACCAAGAGGACCATGTACACTATTGATCATGTATATGTCCGTATATCCGACCATTGTATATTGTATAGTTTGGGGGGGGGCTACAATTAGCTGTGCTATGACTATGGGTACGAATCCCAGTTC